ATCCACACAACGATCGCACTTACCTCGTGGAGTGTCCCAACGGCAACTCGCTGATCAATAGCGGCAGTCAGGTGGCCAATACCATAGCTGGAACCATGTCGGCGGCAGCGGCAGCAGCCTCCCGCCACAGTGGCACCAAGTACTCCAAGCTGGAGAACGCCCTGGACAGTCCAAGTCACTACGGGCAGACGCATCACGGCGGCATGGACAGTCCGAGTCATAGGTATGTCGGCGAAACGGTGTCCATACAGCAGCGTATGATCCAGGGACAGGATGAGCAGCTGGACATGATCAGTGATTCGATTGGAACCCTCAAGACGGTCTCGCGGCAGATTGGCGTGGAGCTCGATGAGCAGGCCGTGATGCTAGATGACTTTGGGAACGAGTTCGATACCACGGAGTCCAAGCTGGACACGACCATGAAGAAAGTTGCCAAAGTCTTGCACATGAATAATGGTAAGTGGAGCGGCACTTGGAGTATTCAAGGACTATTTTGATTGCAATATTGTTGAAGGATAAATGCTTCAGTGAACCACAATCGAAATAAACCATCGTGTGCTTCTGTAACTTTTGATTCGGATAATTGAACTGCATCAATCTTTTCTCCCACAGATAAACGACAGTGGGCCGCCATTCTCATCCTATCCGGGCTGTTATTGTTTGTGATAATTTTGTTTATTATTTTGTAATTGCTTGCGTTGTATTCAATTCGTTTATATTTAGTGTAAATTAGATTTATTTATGACTTGGCTTGATTTTGAATTCGGGCTCTTAAAGGCAAATCAAATGACGATTACTTAAACGATTTATCAGCCAATTCCATGTAAACTCCTTTGCTGTATATACACGGAAAAGTTTTAACCAGATTTATTACCAGCCTCTATATATATAAACTGTAATTCCAAAGCTACGGACAGATGATCATGTAAAGTCAATGTAGGCGGGTAATAAAAGATAACTAGCTACTTATATACCAAGTGCTCCAGAGTTCTGTCATTCCCTATTTGGCCAAAGGATAGTGCAACTGACCTGTACATACATCGAAGGATATATCTGCATATATATGTATACACAGAATGGACCTACCAATATCAAACGAGTTATTTAACGAAGAGTCTTAGGAAATTCCTCTAACCAAATCTAGCAAAAACTTGTATGCAATTGAGTAAATATATATACACATAAATTCAATTCCTAATTTAAAGCTAAATGAGGTACTTCTTACGGGTCACCTGGAAATACATAATGAGTGCACAGAGAGAAATCGCTCGGCAGCTTTAACAATTTAAATAAAACAAAAATGCGAAATAGAAGCATGTCGATGCAAACCTTATATTTTCGCAATGTGCTTAAATGTTGATTATCCTAGAAGATTAGGCATCGTCTTCTGAGGGGCTCACTTGGAGTGCTTTTGCAAATTGAATCGTATAAGGTATTTTTCTCTGTGCACCAGAAAAACCACTCGACAGCCCACTCGATGTGCCCACTCACTCAGCTGTGTTGGATGCTTTTGCCCAGAGCTTTTGGCGAGCTTACAGTCTGCGCAGGGGGCACAGGGGCGCGCCGAAGGGGGCACCTTCGAATGGGTGGAACATAACCCCTCCGGGAAGTACCGACTACGCCACTGGACACAGCATAAGCACACGGGCAGAGCGGCACGTTTCCATGTGCTGCTTGGGGCTTTCGGCATTCAGTGTTGTTTGCCTTTTCCGCGGAGCTGGAGTTTTCCCAGCAGCTAGCATATAGCATACATATATCTGTGACCAACCCGGCAGAAATGTTCAATTCTTGATTTACCTCCGCTGAACGGTGTCCAAGTTATTTTGGTAAGTGGCAGTGCGCAGTGAACCACCCATTTTCACCCCCCAAATATGCAGCAACGCAAAATTCGACTTCCTCTCAGATGTTTGCCATTGGTTTGCCCATTGTATTGTTCTTGTTGACGCAGAGAACCTTGAGCAAAAACTGTTGGCCAAAAATATAAAATCAATGTCAAGCGATGGAAGATGGATACCGCTTCCATTTCCCCCCACCGAACTCAGAGTTCAGGTAACCAGCCGCCAGGTAAAACCAGCTAGTCAAGTTGGCTAGATGCTCCTGCTGGGATTTTTCCTACCCGATTTTCCCACCGGTTTCCCTTTGCTGCCAGGGCTATTAATAGATTCATGTAGCCAGAGGCGAGTGAACATATTTGAGACTACATGTGTTTGTGGCTTTTTTTGTGTGTTTTCCTTTTTGGACGACAGTGTTGCTTGTGGTTTTTGTTGCTGGTGGGGGGAGCTTTTTCGAAACTCTTATCAAAAGTCCGAATTGCGGGCAGGGGCATTCGTTATCGGAACAGATGAGCGAACTTGCCGTTCATTTTTAATCAAAAGTTGCACTTTCTATTGTCTTTCAAGTGTCTGGAATTACAATGCACCACCTCCATAAGCAAATTGCTCTAATGCACTGCGAGCAAAAAGTGCACTTCAAAATGAATGCTCATAAAAATAATAATGGCCACGAATTCTGTCGATGAAAATATCATATTATATATCAGCAGACCTTTGTTTATGCAGTTGATGTATATTGTATGATGAGTTTATTGCGAAATCAATTTACAAGGCTATTTTTGAAAGTGAAAGGGTAAACAGAGAGCACAATGGGAATATTGAAAATCAAATTAGCCCAAGTTTTTAGAAACTGAGTCAAATTTTCTGTTCAAGTCTAGCTGTTTTAGTTTTTCAAAGAGCTTGCTCACTTAATTTAAACATTTTACTGGATAATATGCAAAAACACGTACGGATATTTCAGGTGGCATGACTGCAAATAACTGAGATTGTATTACAATTTACACAGTTTCTAGGGCAGCTGCTATATTAGATTGGCAACCAATTTTAAAGACTTTTGAATTGGATACAATTTTGAGGGATTTATCAAAATGTATTTGTGTCAATACTGTGTGAACCATAATGTGCTTTGATGTATACTAGCATTTCTTCAAGTGTATGCTCAATTGCCACCAACCCACTCACACCACCGCATTCGAGCCCATGGTGCTTATTATTTAATTTGCGCTTCTCCTGTTGCTCAGCTACCCCTTTATTTTCAAACCAGATTCAGTTACCCGGAATGAGTGGCGCACAGCGGAATGTGGATCGCAAGATCGTTGTGATCGGAGCCGGAGCCTCGGGCGTGGCCTGTGCCACCAAGCTGCTGGAACTGGGCTTCCAGAATGTGCTCGTCGTGGAGGCGGAGGATCGTCTAGGTGGCCGCATACACACTATTCCCTTTGCGGACAACGTCATCGACCTGGGTGCCCAATGGTGTCATGGGGAACGCGACAACATTGTCTATGAACTGACCCGGAAACAGGATGAGGAGCTGCTGGAGTCCACGGGTCCGGTGTACGAGAACTATGAGTGCGTGCGTTCCAATGGAGACGTGGTACCGGAAGAGGTAGCCAGTCGCCTGAAAGCCATCGTGGGTGATTCGCTGGTCACCCGGCAACTGGAGCTGCGCCACTGCAGCGGCTCCTTGGGCAGCTATCTGACCAACAAGTTCTACGACACTCTCCGACGGCCGGAGAACTCCGATATAGACGCAGAGATGGCCAGGGAGTTCTTCGTTAACTACCAGAAATTCGAGAACTCCGTCGAGGCCTCGGATACGCTGGAACAAGTGTCGGGACGAGGCTACCTGGACTACTGGGAGTGTGAGGGCGACATCCTGCTGAACTGGAAGGACAAGGGCTACGTGGAGCTACTGCGACTTCTCATGCGCTCCAGAGAGTTGGATGTGGAGCATGGAGTTCTGGCGCAGCGCCTGCTGCTGGCCACTCGTGCTGTGAAGATCAACTGGAATCGGAACGACGGACGCGTGGAGCTGCAACTGAGCAATGGCGACATCTGCATAGCTGACCATGTGGTGGTCACCGTTTCCCTGGGCGTTCTCAAGGATCAGCACCTTCGATTGTTTGAGCCACCGCTGCCAGTGGAGAAGCAACGTGCCATTGATGGTCTGGCCTTTGGGACGGTCAACAAAATCTTCGTGGAGTTTCCCGAGGCATTTTGGCCCGAGGATTGGACGGGCTTCACCCTGCTCTGGCGGGACGAGGATTTGGATGACATACGCGGCACTTCGCGAGCTTGGCTGGAGGATGTCTTTGGCTTCTACCGGGTGAGCTATCAGCCGAGGATCCTGGCGGGCTGGATAACCAACGAGAGCGGCAGGCACATGGAAACCCTACCCATCGATGAGGTCCAGGCCGGTGTTATGTACCTCTTCCGAAGATTCCTGAGGTGGAAAATCCCAGATCCCACGAGCTTCCGCACCTCCGCCTGGTACACGAATGACAACTTCCGTGGCTCCTATTCCTATCGCTCCATGGACACGGAGCAGCTGGGCACGGGGGCGCGGGAGTTGGCCCATCCCCTGACCGTGGTGGCCACCACGCCGGAGAAAGAGAAGGACTCGGAGGACGAGGCGTGGCAGCAGAGTCGCTGCGACCGGCCCATTGTCCAGTTTGCCGGAGAGGCCTCCAGCGAGCACTACTACTCCACGGTACACGGAGCAGTCGAGGCGGGATGGCGGGAGGCCAGACGACTGGCCCAGTTTTACGGAGTAAGCGTGTCCCGTTCCGGGACAAAATCGCAACTCTAGCTGTAGATGGGATATCGTAGTACGATGGGACGGACGACAGCGATACCTGATCCAGTTATACGAATGGATGTGAAATTAGAATTTTGTCTTCGCAATACAAAGCAAAAAAAAAGAAAAACAATCAAGGAAACTGATCAGTACATCCTGGATAGACTTCATATGCCTAAGCTACTAATGTACACATTTGCCATAGGTTAGCATAGGTGACAGATTATATTTACGAGTATATACATATGTACGTGAGCATGTCAATATGTCAACAAGTGCGCTGCCCAATAAAGCTGTGTTTAAGTCTTCTCTACCCTAAAATAGATTAAATATACATCATCAATTCCTGAGCTTAACGCTTCCTTCTTGATCGCATTTAAAATAGTTTTTTTTTATTAGTTTCTCACTTGTTTTCAACAATTTGTCACTACGTTTTGGTGAAATCAGTTTTCGAAATGAGACATGTCACACAGAATTGCATATTGTATTCCATATATGCTCTAGTTAGTGAGTGAGTGTATATACAACTGAGATACAATACGGTTAGCATTAGGTTTACGGGGGGATTAACTCTGTACTTTGATTTCAACAACGTGTAATACATACATTTATAATTTAGTCATTCTTTGAACACAAATAAATTTTGTACAACAAGTTTTATAAGTTAATTTTGTTCTCGTAATCGCAAGATAGATGCTGGTTAAGTTTAAATTTCCTTCACTTTCTGTCAATTATTGTATTCATTTCTTTGTTTTCACTGTTACGCAAAAAAGGTACATGTCGTGAAAAGGACTAAGGCCGGACGGGAGTGCCCAGCAGGACCGCCTACGGGTAAATAGTGTCTCTTCTCCGTTTCTCTAGCAGATTGCTAAATTCGTATGGCAAAAATACTTTGGTGTTCTTCAACAAATTGCATGAAATGCTTATCCACATTTGGCAACCGATCTACTGCACCCACATGGATGGTGCCCACACTGGCTCGTTCTCCAATCGCTGGACATTCTGGACCAGCTGCTCGAATGCGTTGACCAGTTCTCCGTTCACAAGCTCTACGTCAAAGAAGTGTCCGTAGAGGAAATCGATGCGTTCCGCTGACTTGATCATATCCTCGAACTCTTCGTCCGTAAAACTCCTGGCATTCGCCTCGTCGAAGGTGGATTTGGCCCGCGCCTCCGTTCGTGTGGCCTTCAGGACGTCCAACTCTGGTGGCTTCACATGGATGAGGAACGGCTTCAGTTGGGCTGTGCGCAGAGTCTTGATCGCCTGGTAGTGCGGACTCAGCACACATACGCATCCGGCATTCACAATCGACTTGACACTCTCCGCCGACGTTCCGTACAATTGGCCCTTGTACTCGCCGTGCTCCACGAATTTGCCAGCCTCGATGTCCGCTTCCATTTTCTCGCGGGCCACAAAGATGTACTCTCGTCCGGCCACTTCGCCAGTGCGCATTGGTCGGGTGGTGTCTGGAAAACGAATAGGTTTTCAATTAAAGTTGGTCAAAAAGAGGTTCATTTGCCCGCTTGTTCATTTCTATACTAGTTCATTTGGTCACTTGTTCATTTCTTCACTAGTTTATTTGGTCACTTGTTCATTTCCACACTAGATCACTTGGTCACTTGTTCATTTCTACACTAGTTCATTTGGTCACTTGTTCATTTTTACATAATGAGCAAATTAAGTTAACAGCTGAGCAAACGTAAACCAATGCAGAACTAGAAAAGTGAACATCATTGAACAAACAGAGTGAAGTGAAGTATTTAGGAAGTATACAAAATATAAATGAACACTTTCCTTAATACGAATACGAATCACTAGTTCGTTGCATTACTTACACGGCACCGGGCTGCGGAACTTCTCGGGATCCCGGGCTATCAGCCGTCGGCGCAGCTCATTCCGGCCCACGCCGGGAGCTCCGATGAGCACCACGGGCCTGAAGACTCCGGGACGTGGATACAACTTGGCCACCTCCTCGTACGTGGCGATCTGCTCGCGATCGAAGTCGTCGTTCTCTGTCAAATCATACATGATCTTTTTAGTCTTGGGCTGGCGGCAGGAGGAGGTGCTGCTACTCGCAGGCAGGCGCGGGGAGCCAGGTGGGGTGGTGCATAGTGAGGCGCATGATCCGGCTGGCGATGGCGATGGCAATGCATGGATGGGGCCAATTGGAGTTGGGTTGAGTGTTAGATGAGGGGGCAGAGATGAAGCATGAAATTAGAGCAAGAAAATGAAGAGCGAATCCTATGGAACCAATGGGCTGGCAACGTGCAATGCTTACGCTTCGAGTCCAGATCGGTGCCGTTCTTCTGTGTACGATCGTGGAGGATGCGGCGCTCCTGCAGCGCCCGGCTGGGTATCAAGCCGGCTCTCGCCGAGCGCTCGTGCTCCTTGCGCGCCTGCCACCAGTAGGCATCGTCCTGGGCCACAATGTGCAGCACATCGCCGCGCTGGAAGGCCAGACCCGCCTCCTTGCACGGAATGTAGGGATCCACATCCGGATTGTAGTCAAAGTGGGCCCTCACCCGCACCTTGGACTCGCGCTGGGCGCCCTTGTTGTCCGCGGGAACCAGCTTAAAGGTGATGGTGCCCTCCGAGTTTTGCTGCCAACATAAAACGTATTCAGCGGTTTAGAAATATCTAAGTGTTTCTCGATCGATGCTTGGCTTACTAACCAGTATGGTGAGCACATCGCCCGGCGTCTTGCCCTCCACGTTGATGTTGTTGACCTCGATGACCTCGTCGCCGACGTGAATCAGTCCGGAGCGATCTGCAGCGCCGCCGTGCATGATTCTGGCGATGATTATCTTGCCCGACTCCTCGTCCGTTTTAATGGTGGCGCCCTAAAAGTAGGCAATACGTGTTACTGGAGGGCCAACAAAGGCGCGTATGTGTGCAGTGGAGTGTGTTTGTGTGTGTGTGCGTGTGTGATTGTATTGTGTTTCTGTATCTGTGTGGAGTGCGGCTTCCGATGTTCTAGATGTGAGTGTATCTGATGGATGCGTCACAACGACAACCACAACGGAATGGGCACAACGGATGGTAATGGTATCTCATGTGGCATGTATCTTGGTGTGTGCACAGCTTCCTGGCTGTTGTTTGTTGTATTCAGTGCTTGGCGAATGGGTTTCTGTTTTATTTCTTACAGTGGACATTTTACGGCTATGGACATTCGATTACTTACAACAATTGGCTCCGCACTCTGTGCTCCTGTCTGTGTTATTATATTTTTTATACATTTTTCGATTTTTACATTTTTTTTGTTTGTTAGCAAATGCGTATTTGTTTGGTATGGGCGAATTCGAGAAATTGATTCGATTGCATTCGATTTTAACAAAGGCAAAGTTGACAAAATTGATTAGCATTGAAAGGAGTTGACATGTTGGCGATTACAGCGGTGGAACGAGTACGAGTATGAGTGAAGGCGCAGAAAGGAGCAGTTGGCAAAGGCGAAGGCGAAAGGTGGGCGGTGAAAGTAGGGGCGGGATTCGGAAATGAAAGTCGAAAGTAGACGATGGGCAGCACAATACAGCGATCACGGCGATGAGATGGGCATGGAAAATGGAAAGCGCTGGTGCCACTGGACGAACACTCACCAGGGGCTCGTTGCTCTTGACGAGCTGCACAATCTTGATGGTCTCCTCGTCCTCGTCCATTTCGACAGGCGCCTCCGGCAGGTGCGGGTAGAAGTCCTTCTGGGCAATCGCATCGTGGGCGAACAGAAGGTGCTGCAATGAAATCCAAAAATTACTAAAAACGCTCGTCTGTCATAATATAAAAACCGGTCACCTGCAGGTGCGAGTCCTGCAGCAGGTGGAAGGCCTCCTTGCAATCGTCGTTCAGGTGACAGTGCTGGGACAGTTGCTCCAGGACTTCGTACAACACCTGGGCGGAGGTGGAGAGCACGGGGGCCAGGCGATCATCCCGACCCACCTTGGCCACCTTCGTGTGCACATTGACCAGGGCGTTCAGCTCCTTGGACTCAAGCAGGGCCTTCAGGAAGTCGATTTCCTGGTCATTGGACAGATTCTCCGACTCCTTCAGCGTGCTGATCAGTTTGGAAAGAGCTGCACAACGAGCGAAAGGTTAATCAATCATTTCGCACCGCCTGGCTGCGTCACTCAGCTCACCTGGATCCCAGTTGATGTCCGATGCCATAACTGCTTCTAGCATGTCCCACAACAGGCGACGAGTCACTGTCCTTGCTTATCCTCTACCAGTTATCCTTTGCCGTTGTCCCTATAATCGAGTTAACAAAATCGATATGCGACTTTAACAACAACCGGAGAGAGACTTCATAAATTTGCGCATAAACATGTCAACGAGGGGCAAGCGGGGCCAGGCCGGAGCCGAATGATAATTCCAGGCTCAAGGCTGCCACCCACCACCCACCACCCAGCACCCACCACCCACTAACCATAAACACCATATAACCACCCCCACGCCCCAGCAGCGACTACTTTGCGTCACTCGCCAAAGGACACCAGACACTGGAAAATGTTGCCGAATTTCGCTTTGGATATTAAGATACAGTTGTAATTCAATATGTCGGTTATAAGAAAATTCATATAAAATGATATATCATTTTAAGGTTCAACTAGCTTTAGAATGATATGTGGAATCTATCTTATTTGTAGGAAATATCAAAGCCATATGGCTTTGTATTGTGTGCTTAAGCTTTTCGTGAAGATGTAGTTCATAGTTTCTCGAATACATCTTAGAGGAGTTCCACTGTTTAGTTACCATAACAACAGTTTGCGCCTCGGTGACCCCGAAACATTGGAGTTGGGTGGCCCCACTGACGACGCCAAGTCTAAAGAGCTCCCGGGCAGCGGGCCGCCAATGCAATTAGCTGACATTAAGCCCGGCCAAGTGGGGTGTCCGCTGTGGTTGGCCATTGGCTGCTGGCCAGGGGGCGATATGATTAGAGCAGGCGTTGGATTTATGCCCAGTGGCCCGGAATGTTGGCGCCCCTCATTGCAATCTGCACACCATTAACTGTTCAATGACTGCGCATCCTGTTGCCGTGCTGCAGCTTTGCTCTTGGCCAGGTGCCACATTCCATGAGGTCACCAACACGCTGCCCTCTTGCATGACCGGTGCTCATTAGTGCCACGTTTTGCGGAACGTGGGTGGCTGGTGATTAGTGTCAACTGAGTGGCCGCTTTTGGAGCCCAAGAATAGCGTCTCAAGTGGGGCACTTGCATGTCCTTCAACTTGCCGCGGACTCTCGCATTTCTGTTTCCCTATATGGTAATGGGAAAAACGCACTTCTTGGCCCTCCGACACTTTCCGAAACTTGGCCAACGACCTTGAACTACATACACGTCGGCACTCACAGCCACCCAGCAAAAGGCCGAGCTAAAACAATTTCCATGGCTTCAGTTGCAGCGACGTCAGTGCGTGGGATCCGAGGGTTGCAGCCCCAGTTGAGGGTCTTTATTCCAGGGGGTGGTGGGTTTTAACTACAGGATATCAACCGATGCTAAGCCACCACCATCGTGTACAGGCAGTGCTTCTCACATCAATTACACTTTACTTGTAAAAATAAATGGGGAGCTGTATTGTTGAGATTTTGAGCACATCCTCCAGTAGAATAAGCTGCCTTTTTTGTTAATATTATACTTAAATGATGTTTTAGCTAATTATCTGAACATTATAGAGATAGGCTAGACTGGTACAACTTTTGACTAGGTAAAGGTTGATTTCGGATAGTTTAGCCGCACTTTGAAGGCAATCCCCTGTGGGGGTTGCTGCATTTGCCACTATTACTGCTGTCAATCAGCCAAATGGCAAGCAGAAGCCAAGAAAGCGAGTCAGGCCTGGCCCCAATCACACTAATTACGCTGAGAAAAGTCGACAGGGGCCAAGAGGTCTGGCGAAAAGCGGAACAATTACTTTGCCCCGGGTTCTTGAAATGCGAAAGTGGCAGTCCTTGTGGCCAGTAGATAAGGCAGGTGCCAGGACTTCAATCACTCCCTCAATAAAAACCCAAGTAATTGCACTGAGTTCCTTAAATCCGAACGAGTGATAATCTGGTCATACTGCAAATAGCGGTGGCTTAAGAGAAAGTCCACAAGGCATTGAAACATTGAAAGCGCTGAGAGAGAGAGAGAGTGAGAGCCAGCTGAGAGAGAGAGAGTGTTACAAGTTTTCCCCTGAGCATTCAATTAACAACAAAATATGGCCCAAAAAAAGAATAAGTATAAACGAACATTAATTCGAATGGAGATTATCACCTGGAGTTTTTCTGGGCAGTTGGCCAATACGAAGCAGACGGATTTCGTTTGAGTCCCAGCGTTGTTTTATTTTTAAATTTCCACTTCACTCGCAGACACTCACGCACACACAGAGGCACAAAAACACGGCATTTCAGCTAATTTCGCTATTTTCGCTATTTTTAGGCCTCTAATATTGCGCACCAGTTTAGTTAACCGTTTAATCGGGCTATCCGTAGCTCCTGTTGGCAGCACTTCACATTCAGGACCCCACACAAAGGATTATCAAGGTGATGGCCACCAGAGTCCGCCAGCGGGAATCCCAGAACGGCGAATAACGGGAGCGAGAGCGACTGCACACGATGGGCAAAGAACAACGTTTAATTTCAGGAATTCATTTCCACGTCGAGGGAACTGCCATCTCGCGAATCTCTGCGGCTCTTTGAAGAGCGCCCAACTTGGAACTCTTAGCGCTTACTCTTGGAACTAAATCAACATATTACTTGTTATGGGTTTGATATGTTACAGTATTGTGCATAGTTGCATTGAAAATAACACAAGCTCTGTTTTATTTTAATTTTTATTTAACATTAATTTACATTTTATGGGATGGCTTGATATGTTAAGGTATTGTGAATTGATGCATTCTCTCCCTTTTATTTTGAATTTCAAATTTGTTTGCAGATAAAAATCTAAATAAAAATAGTCGCTATCCAAAATATTCTTTTTTTTATTTTATTTCAAAAATATGTTCAAAAAAATTGTATAGTAACTCGAAAAATTGAAAACCACTGTGGTGTCTCTTTACAAACCAAGAGCGAAACAAATTCGTTTGAGAGAGAGATATTGAGTAAGTGGAACAACAACGGAAATGAAAATGAATGGGACGAATGCACCACCGGAGAGTAGGAAATCCAAAAAGTAGGAGAGCGCAGAGCGCCAATTGGACTTTTGCTGGGGGTGGAATCTGCGCAGGTCAGCAGAAATGCGGAGCGGAAGAAATACAGGGTGTTCAGGATTATGTTCTCTCAGGATTAAGTTACGAAATATGGTAAATAAGGAAATTGATTGGCTGGTAAATGTTCGAAACATAAAATTTCCTAAGAGAAACGACGGGTTTATTTAACATAAATAGAGTCTGACTTTGAAATGGTATTGTTACAATTTAATATAATTGTTTATTAAACTAGATAACAGGCTAATATTTATCCCAGCAGACCGCCGCCTGCTAGGCCCGCTCCTCCAGCAGCACCGAATCCAGCGAATCCTCCTCCAAATTTCTTGTCGTACCGGGCGCGGTATCCACCGCCGAATCCCCTCGCCCTCACACGATAGCTTTCCTTGTAGCGCCCAAAACCAGCACCTCCACCGATGCCGCCACCAATGAATCCAGCTCCTCCGGCGAGACCAAGTGCTTGAGGCTGCTGTTGGATGAGGGGCACCTGTTGCACGACGGGAACCTGTTGGACAACGGGCACTTGTTGCACAACGGGAACCTGCTGGACGCCTCCGATGCCACCCACTCCGCCGATGGCTGCCACTCCTCCGACCGCACCGATTCCAGCTCCACCCAGGGAGTGGGCTTCACTCCGCCAAGCGCCTATTCCCAGCAGTAGCAAAAAATGCACTCGAAGATCGCACCTCATCTCGGCTGCGTGTCCAATAACGATGTGAGTTATCTTAACTAAAGTCAACTGGCTTTTAATGCCCAGGCCAGCGACCTTCAGACCAAAAACGATGATGATGATGAGGTGTGAACCACTAGCCAGTGGGCAAAACCATGAGTCCCCCAAAAAACATAGATGGGGCCTTAGAGCTATGGGGATTTTTTAACTCGGGCGCCCCAATCTGCCAATTGGAAGTGCAAACAGTGGCCACTAATTAATTTGCATAAATAAGCAGCCGGGAGTGGGGCAGACCAGACAGTTAACCCCATCATGTTGTGGCAAACGGTCTACCTGCTGGTCTTGGCGTGCGCCTTGGTCAGCGCCACACCGATCCTCTCCAGCAGCGACCAGCCGAGCATTAGAAGACCCCGGCACATTGGAGGATTTGGCGGTGGCGGCATCGTGGGTGGCGGCATCGTGGGAGGTGGCATCATCGGTGGCGGAGGAGTAGCTGCCCCCATAGTGGCGGCCCCTGCTATTCAAACAGTACCCCTTGTGTCCACTGTGCCCCTTATCACCACAGTGCCCGTCGTATCCAGCATTTCCACCGTCCAGACGATTCCCAGTTATGGATACGGATATGGCGGTGGCTATCCCGTTGGAGGAGGATTGGGCGGACTAGGTGGCGGATTGGGCGGAGGCGGCGGATTCGTTGGCGGCGCTGTGGGTTTTGCCAAATTCAAAGGCGGTTTCTTTGGCTAGTTCTTTCCGAATAAATCGCAGTGTTTGTGGAGACCCTTCTAGTGTAAACAATGAATAAAAAAAAGTGCTGCGCGATCGAGTTTCATTTTGCCGAGTGTTTGGAGTCGACAAATTCGATGAGCTTGCATATTCCGTACTTAACTGGTTGTTATTTCTGGAAGAGTCTCTCGCTGCTATTTGCTTCCATATATATGTCGGATATCGCGAGGCGAGACGAGGTGGGGCGTATGGGCTTTTTAAGTGGTAAACAACAAGCCATCAAGCGCTTACAGTGGGTCAAGTTGGCTGGCCTGAAGAGCGGTCTCCAGTAGTTGGTTATCGGATTGCTAATTGTGGTCTTCATAGACGGGTTGATACTTTTATTTGTATTTAAATATTGTCATTTGAAAGCACGGCTGTGGTGCTGACTTTGATTTTCTGAGATTTTTCATCATTGACTGACTTCGTATCTGAACGAGTTGGTAGTCCAAATATGGAACACAAGCTGTGATTATTACTACAGTTTACTGTCTGCCCATTATGATCTAAATCTAGATATTGTTCCACGGTTGCCCCACACTTCCGCATCATATATCATTTCATCTACACATTAAGATTGGGTCAACCCCAAGTATTTGTATAAGCGATTTGTTGGGGTTTTTTCCTCAAACCCACGATTATTCTCGCCGTCTTTGCCTGGCTGCGATTGAAATTAGACGAAAAATGTAAAAAAAAGACACTCAATGGCAATCAACAAATGCCAATGAACCTCCTTTGTTAATGACACCAGGTGCTGGGTGTTCTTGGCAAATGTGTGGCTATAAATTAAAGCCGATGTGGGCGATGAGTTTTAGTACTTGACGAGGTTGGCGCAGGAATACGACATCGAAATGGATCACAAGCGGATATTATTTTTGTTCGCCATTGCTGCTCTGCTCCTATGTAACATTGCAAGAGCCGATGAAAAGGAAACGGAAGTGGTGGCAGAGGAACCGAGCTCCACTCAGCTGTTGGCCGCCGGTGAAACCGACCAGGCTGATACTGGAGATGAGAACGTTAGGAAAGTGCGCCAGTATTTTGGACCACCACCGTTTGGACCACCGCCGTTTGGACGTCCGCCACCACCCTTCTTTGGCCCACCACCACCACCGTACTATGGCGGTGGCTTTGGCGGCGGATACGGCGGTGGTTTCCAGAGAACCCGCGTGATCACCCGCACCCGTTACCGCGGACGCGGTGGCTACTACGGCGGTGGATTCTACGGCTAATCGGCTAGCTTGGACTCGATTGTGCAGACTTTGTGATACTTCTATTGTGCTGCCCCTTGGAGGGCAATAAAACTGTTTGCCTTATGCAAGTCCATTCAATCGGTTTCTTTTATTAGGGCTTATTAATAACACTTTGTGTTTATGACGGGGAAAGCTGAGTTCGGTGGTGTTTATAAGGGGCCCACGAGGCTAAGCTCCAAAAATGTTCCGCTGGATGGTGCTGTGGATCACTGTGGGGCTGGTGGCAGCTCTGGATGTGCGGGAATTCGATCCACAGGTGGCACCGCCGCAAAGTTCAGGTGGGTTACTTACTTCCTCTCAAGAAAGGGTAAAAGAATGTTATATTTGGTGCTTAAAGGGTTTACCTAATTTCCTTTCCAGTTCCAAAACCCTTTCAGCTGTGGCGAAATTTCGCGAGTCAGCTGCGGCTTGTCTTCAGTCGCCTTCAGCCAAAAGCACCCACTCCGCCCACCGTTAGGACCAGGACGGGTATAACCACCAGTACTTCCGAGCCCGAACTGCAGTTCTATGGAGCTCTGAATCCCATATATCAAACAGGAAACTTTTAACTTAACTAAGGTTTATTACGAAATGCTTAGGCTATATTTTGGGTGAGTGCTGCTGCTTTAGCGGAACTTCTTGCCGAAGAGGCTCTTGAAGCTGCCGAGTCCACCGAAACCGCCGCCGAAGCCGTGTCCTCCGAATCCACCTCCAAAACCGTGTCCCAGACCACCGAATCCTCCCTTCAATCCGCCGAGTCCTCCGAAACCTCCAAGCTTGCCGCCAAGTCCTCCCAGTCCTCCTAGTCCTCTAACCACTCGCTCGCCCTCCAGTTCATCCACCTGAGGCTCCTGTTCCGCCTCCAATTCCAGCAGTGTCAGTGCTTCTCCATTCTCCAAGTCCACAGGAATGGCCAGAGAGCAGGAGATCACGGCGATCAGGGCGAGACTCAGGGCGAGGAACTTCATCTTAGTGCTTCGCGAAGGGATTCAAACAGATTAAAGGCAGCTGATTGATGGATGTTGGCTGGATTGGCACTTAATACCAAGTGCCATGACAACTAGGTTTATATACTTCTGGCTTGGGACTTGGGCTCGTGCGAAGAGTTGCTAATTCGCAGTGTCAACAAAGTGTGGACCCAGCAACGGCTGCGATCTGCGATCTGCGATCTTGACCAAATATACTCGTACTTTCATTCATCCAAAAGTATTGTTAGACTTTTGGGATTGGTTTTTGGTCAGTTTGGTCTTTGGGTAAGTGCGTGTGTGCACATGGCTGGGTTTGCTCAGGTCTTTAGCTTGGGCCTAACGATAGTTACATCATGTTTGCCATGGCGATTACCAGGTTGATGGTCTTGAAACGTAATCACGATGACCTTAGACACATTTTTTTTTGCCCAAGATACACTTGAATTAGCTTAGAACTTCTCATAATTATCAGATTAGCATTGACTATAATCAAAGCGAGTCAAGATTTTGCTCACACGCGACTTGATGGGTAGCTAGTTTGTGTCTTAAGTCTTTCGTTTATTTTGCTAATTACTAGATATGTGTACAGATTGCTTAGCACCTAAGTAGTCTATTGCCAGTATGCGTGACGCTCACGTGCTGCCAGTTTTTGTCTTCGTCTCAGATATCTCTTGTAGTATTTTGCATTGACGAAATGTTTGGGATGCACAGCTACTGGTTTCTGGTACCAGAGCTTGGAGGACTGGCGATGGCGATGTTTGCTCCTCGGTTCTCGGATGACATTGTAGCGGGTTTTCCTCACTTGATCCGGCACAAATGATCTCGACCAGGCTATGGGGTCCAGGCTGGCATCGTAGCCAGCTTCATTTGTGGGCCACCAGGGCTTCGCTTCGCAGATATCCATTAAAAGTAGCAGGATGGGTATAACAATTAGAATGCAATTCAACGCGGCGTAGTTCATGGTGCAATGGTTCACTGAAGACTGCCGCTCCTTGACCTTACAACGCGGGCTCTTATACCCAGCTGAATACACACCATTATCGGATTAGCCCCGGCATGTCAGGGGACCCAACTACCTGCGTAACTTATCAATGGCCCAGGTACTCAGATAAATGCGTTGCCCAGGCCAACAAATCACTGTGGATCGTAAATCAGAGCGGGAAATGGTGTCTTTATCTCTAGGGGAAAATCGATGGCTCTGCGGGTGCAAACCAGCATGTTCGTTTCACTTTCAAAAACTTGTCATCCTGGCTCCGTCTTGCTAAATTTGCCAAACTACCAACCTTGCACTTGACACCTGCTGCTCAATTAGCGTTTAAAAAGAGATTCCTCGGTGATATATTGCACGTTGTCTTGAAAAACGAGAGTTGATACATGACATACTTTTACAATTAACTAAAGTAAACGCAAATGAAAGTCTGTAAATCTGTTGTATAAATGTTCGTGTATTTATCGAAAATAAATAAAATAAATTAGCTTATGAGGTATGCAGTTTAAAGCTCATTTAAAAGCCTGGCGCATAGGCCTGCATGTTCACGCGCTCCAGAAAGCCGCCGGATGGTGGATACAATCCTTGCATGTTGACCTGCGGTGCTGGATACAGTGCCGGGTTGGCTCCGCCGAATCCCTGCGGGGCGGGATATAGAGCCGGGCTCACGCCACCGAATCCTTGAGGTGCTGGATAAATTCCGGAATTGCCGCCAGCCAATCCCTGAACGTTGGCCATATTGACAATATGGTTCACCGATTGGAAGTTGTCTACGGCAGGACTGGGCCCAAATCCATTGGGCAGCATGGGCAGGGGGTTTCCGTACATGGGTGCCGCGCCTGGATAGCCGAAGGAGCCAAAGGGATTGAAGCCAGGAACTGAACCAGCCAGATTGGGATCCGGATACGAAGGATAGTTGTTGGCAATGTTCGTCTGCAGACCGGGAACGCCACTCAGGCCTGGTGCCGGTGCAAGGCCAGGGTAGATCAGACCCGGATAGTTGGGATACCTCACCAGCTGGCCACCGACCGAGCTCAGGGCCATCTGGTTCATCGGCACGCCCATGGTCATGGACATGGGTTGAGCTGCGGTCGCTGGAGTCACGTTGGCCACCATCTTGACATCTGGATCCGTTGAGCCGGCCATCTTCAGCTGCCGCTCCCTACGCACATGCTGATCCTCGATATGTTGCTGTTCCACATCCAGTGGCTTGGCCTGCACCGTGCCCAGGAGGAGCAGGGAGAGCAGCAGGATGGCTTTCTTTGCAACAAACTCGGTCATTTCGGTGGCTATCGTTGAAGGCAACTGTTTGCTTCCGGCTCGATGAAATCCTCTTTTATGCCGAGGCCGATGGTGAAAACTTTCTTTTGCAATTATCCGCCTTGGTTTTTCGCTTAAAGTGATGCCTTTTTTATGTTTTTATGGCGGCAAAAGTCGAACACTGCGGCCCACTGAGCGCCCCGTCTTCGGTTTTGTAATCTCTTTATAAACAATTCACACTTTTAGCCTAATGCCCAAGGCAAATAAGGTGCGAAATGTCTCAGCACACGGAGTTCGCCTTGCAGAAAATCGCTGCTCACCAGATGAGTCGCCTATACGTGGGTATATCTTGTATCTTAAGGCGCAGCGGGGGCGTCTGAAGTCTGAAGTAGAAATCAAGCGTCTGGAATGCCTAAAAGTATGCTAATATATATTTATAAACTCCCAACTAGACCCGTACTCGAGTCCGTCTGTTTTTTAATTTTAAATTTAAATGTACCACCCAGTCGAATGTAATTAAAATAGTATCTTTTCTTTAAATGATAAATATATTTGCGTTGAATAAATAGTAGTAATGGTATTTGTACATCCTTACAAGCTAGACCTGTTCAGTTTCCCAACGTTGGGTGCGGGACATTTTGGTATCTATAGAATAAGTTACTGAATCTGGCAGATACGTATCTATTTGCCGAAGCTGTCGGTGTAGGCGGCGCGTCTGGCATCAGCACGAGCCTGGCGAACGGCCAAAGGATCGTTGGCCAGATAGTGGGGGGCATAGTCCTCCGAGTCGTAGGACCTGCGATTGGCGCCGCCGTATCCTTGTTTGCCGTAGACGGCGCTCTTGGGATAGCAGATGAAGTAGTCGCCCTGGTAGTAATCCGCACTGGCGCGCTTTTGGCGCACTGGTTCACCCGTAATATCCGTGGCCGAAACGAATCCTGGATCCTGTGCACTTCCAGCGATGGGTGCTGCCTGGTTCTGGCTTAAGCCAAAGATCAGGAAGATCACAACGATGGAGCTGATGCCGTTCATGCTTATCGGTTATATGTATATGGATGGGAGTTTGCAGTTGAGCTTGGCTGGGTATATCCAATGGTGCTGGAGTTCCTTTGGGTTCTGTGCCTGATCTGCCGTGCGCCTGTGGCTTTTATAGCCGCGAATCTTCGCCAGTACGCGCTAATTGTTATGACAGACCGAGTTGCCCAGTCAGTCAGCCAGCTCCCAGTGGTGTCAGTATGGGGGCACTAATTTGATCTGTTGCGCATCTTTTGATTTGATTAGCAGGAATGGCGCCGCACAACATTTCCGTCAATGTGGTCCAGCCTTTTGGCAACTCGTGTGACGTCATTTGGGGGCTAAGCCCCCGTGGGGGGAGTTCTTTTTTTACGTCTTGCGGTTTAGATATTTCGCGACTTTTGCTTTTTGTTGCGGTAGGCACCGTCGCAATGCCAATGATTCATTGGTGGAGTTTGCCCCCCAAAAGATCAAAGAAACTTAAATACATCAGCATTGGTCATCAATTAGGCAGATTTAGAATCAATCACGTATTTAGTCGTGCTGTTAACAATGGACTTCGCTGTATCTTTGGTTTTATTTATAGTTAGTCAATCTGTGACAGTTTGAACTTACTTAACACAATTATAAATATATCATGAAGTTAGGCAGTTTTGTGATGGTTTTGCCGTTGCTGGGTCTTTCGGAAATGATAAACCACAATATCACTGTACCACAATTAGTCAATAGCGTGATTGAACACTTTGCGTGTTTATTTCGGGAAATATTTGGAGTTATTTTTAAAGTGCCCGCAATTAATAATAAATTCAAGTCATGGGATACATATACCGATTTGAAGTACTACAAAATATTTTTCCCATATTGCATACAACAATGCCAATTTGTTGTCGGAAATTGCTTTGTGGGGGAGGCGCTAATTAAGTGCACTAATGAAAACTTAGAAATAAACATGAATCATGTGGACAACGTGCCCGTTTCCAAGGAAGCAAATTCCACAATCGAGAGTGCAAAATATTTACATGCATCAATTAGAAGTCGTGAGTCACAAGTTCGTCGTCAGTCACAGCAACCTGGAGTTCAACTCCTCTGGTGAAATGTTGTGCCAGGAGCTTGGAGGTAATTTTCCATTAAGATATCGATCGCAAGGCTGGTCGGGGGTGCATCAAAGCAAAACCGCAAAAACCCTGTCTCAGCCCCACATATCTGGAAATTAATCGAACTAGCTTTTTATTGACTCGTCAATTAGTGTGCTGTTCAAAAACAGGTTACATTATCCCAGATTTGGCGACTCCTTTAAGTTGTGCAAGCATTTCGCAAAAATTATCAAATCCAGCCACCAAGTTTGAAGCAAAAACCACCACATTTGTGCTCCAGATGTGCTATTTTTAATTAAATGGCTTAGAACTAGCGGAATCTTACTATTGGAAGATTTTTCATTTGTGGAAAAAGTAGTATTTCGATCGTGTTTGAAACGATTTCATTGATTAGCGTTTCTGGACCGGTTCCATTTGATAACGTTGTATTTGCGACCAAGTGCGTAAGCAATCTGACACGCCCTTTACGCCGAAAGTCCCTCGATTCCCACCCATTGCCAAAGTTCTATGTTTTTGTTTTCGTTTCGATTTTTCTATTTATATTTGTCCCAATTACAGTGAGTAACTATTTTCCCCAACTGGAACTGGCTGAAGCTGACGCCGAGGCCGAAGCACTGCCTCCACCTCCACCAAAACCACCTCTGGGATAGCCGCCATAGCCGCCGTAGCCACCGTAGCCACCGCGGCGGAAGCCACCGCCTCCTCCACAGCAGAATCCTCCACGGCCATAGCCACCGCCAAAGCCTCCGAAGCCAAAGTGACGAGCGATCCTATCTCCAGTGCCATCATCGATTCCCGGCTGCGCCTCAGCATCTTCCAGGGTGACCTTTTGCTCCTCCAGAGGATGGGCGCTGATCATGGCCAGAATGGCCGCGAGCACGAGTGCAATCACTAGGTACTGCTTCATATTGGACGATCAAACACTTTCTGCAATCAAATCACCATGGGTGCCAACTTTTATATAGGCAAATAAACCGGGGATCTCCCAGTGGAGAAGCAAGTGTTCTAAAGCGCATCCCAGCTATCCAAGTATCATTAGTTACACCCGAAGGGCAATTATCATATGACGCTGATGATTTCACCGAAACTTGAGGTCAATGGAAATCCCAGACGCGTCGAAAACTTCTTCCAGAACTTACAAAAAACTATGAAAAATTCGTCAATTACACTGTCTATAAAAGCGTGTGAATTATTTGCTTCTTCCCATTATTGTAATAAGGAAATTTCCACCTTTAGGTTTCAGTTTAACTATGGAAATATATCTCCCAAAATGGAAATTGGTGTATAGAACCAGGCGAATAACAATGAATATTTTTAGGCAGCTTTCTTTCTGTGTGCAACTGCACCATCACATTTGAGACCAGCCCCCAGGATGGGGATTTACTTCTCCCACGGTCGAATGCAGACCAGTCAACACATTTTAAGTGACCAGTGAACCAAGATTGATTTTGCGCAGTTCATTAACTGCATGCTATCAGAGGATTGGATTCACTACACTGTCTGAACTTGTGGGGAACTAGGGGAACTACATTGAATTCTAAGGCGCAAGTATCTAAAAGTTTCTGGGAGAATCGCAAACACGTTTGCCGAACGGCATTCGAGTCATTCCAAAAGTAAGCGAACAACGATTATCTACAGATGAGCGGGCAAAAAAAGCGAAATAAACGTAACAGATTTTAGCACAACAAATCGTATATCACCATCATAAACTGGTTGGGCGTAAGAAGCATGCTAAAAAGGCACTCCCTCTTAAATTGGAAAATATTATTGCAGTCTAACTCGGCAATGGCAATAAATATTGTAGTTAAAAGTTCCGGCTATGCCGTGTACTCTTATGTTAATTATAATTTCCATATCTCTCGCAGTTCCTAAGTCCAGTCGTTATATGGTATACGATGAATAGAGCCAGACTGATCTTTGTTTGAAAACAAAAAGAGCTGTTTTTCATTAGCACCGAACCTTGGAAAAGCAATATAGTTAATTCCTATAATATATTGTTTTGAACAATCTTTTTACTGCTCCAGACCTCTAATATGATGGTCTATTAATAAATCAACACTAATGAAACATAGCTGTACAACAATGACTTAATTACATTTTGTTGTATATCTTGGTAAACTCTATCTTTACCTATTTGTAAAAATATGAGGCTGGCAAAAATACTTATATAAAAGCACGCGTGCTTTAAGTGCCTCGGATGATTGACTAACTGGCAGATGTCTAGCCAGACTTAATTCAATTAAAAAGTCAAAGATTTCCATGTCTGGCGAAACTCTGATCAATTAGTGCAAATATAATAATTCGAGACATTCCCAAAGCATCTGGAAACAGAAAATGGGAAGACTTCGCTCTTATACGCCGCGTATAAGATGATTCACAATTATAGTTGAATGCACCTACTCAGACGGCGAATAGATTTCAAGTTCGCTAATTAACTTAACTATTGACAATCTTTATTATTATAGCCTGCGAGCATAGAAGAAACGCCCCCGGCTGTTGGCTCTTTCAATGTGAATGAAACAACAGGCCAAAAAAAGAAGAAAAAACGCGCGGAAGTGAGCCATCGCGTTAACGGTGTGAAACAGATTGCTGACTTATTTGGCCAACTTTCGGCAAGGTCAATGTCGGGTGTGCTCGTCTGCGGACTGGGCCAAAACGAAATGATCTCGAACTGGGCGTGAAAGCAGCACGGCGCCAACCAGTTGATGACGTTCTGGCCAAGATTAGCGAAGTTCCGCTCGGCCTGCGATCATTACTTGCAGGTGCCGAAGGTCTTCTGGTATATTTTTTGGCAAACTTATTTGGAAATCCATCCAAGAACGCTGTGGTATAAAATATTATTGGGTTTTTCAGTCGCCACCCAGTTGTTAATCTGCCCCAGACTGTTACGGTTACGAAATGTATCTACGCGCGCGTTTGGCTCTGCTGAGCCTGCTCGTCCTCATGGTTTCTGGCCAGAAGAGTAAGGCCCGCAAGGAACGGCCCCAGGGCAGGACCTTGGGTCTATTGACGCCCCTCTTACTGGGTGGTGGCGGGCCGCTCTTCGATGTTCCCCTGCCAGCAGGACCACCCATCCGACCAGGTGGTGGTTCATCTGCTGCTGCCGGAGGCGGCACACAATCGGACTCCTACTACGGCGGCGGTTATCCAGGCTACGGCTACAGACCCAACTACGGATACGGATATCCCAATTATGGCACTAATTATTTCTACGGATACCCGGGCTTTGGCTATGGCTATGGCCAGAACAACTATAGGCCCAGCTACAACAACTATGCTGGTTACCAGCGACCGCAGCCGTCTTATGGATACCGACCCACCTACAGCTCCATTGGAACTGGCGCATCCGGCGGCTATCCCTCGTACAGCGGCTCGGCTGGCATCTCCAGCGCTCCCATAACCTCGGGAGCAGGAGCAGTATCTGGAGGTGGCAGCCCACAGCTGTCCACCGCTCAGCAAGCCCAGTTGGCCGGTATTTTGGGTCAGGCGCTTGGCAATAGTCTGCGCCCACTGCTCGCCAATGGGGGCGGGGCAGCTGGAGCGACGGGAGCGACAGGAGCGGCGGTGAATCCACAAGCCCTCAGCGGTCTACTCAGTCTTCTGGGCTAGGCCTAAAGTGTGTCAGTATTAACTAACAGATAGAAACATTATTGATAAATCCAATTCATCATTGTAGCGAACTTAGCATCACAACTACATTCAAAAAACCTTCATTGTTTTGTTTATATTTTTGTCTAGTTAATATAATTTCTTTATGCATTTTCCTTTATTAAATACATTTTATTCCTTGTTAAAATAGAACCTCTGTTGTGTTGCCATGAACAGCAAACTTTATTTTGGTCTTCATTCGACTGCTCATGCCTTGCCAATCCGCATGTAAATTGTGTTAACTGATTTTATCGCTGGGTGTTAACCACATATAGTGGGGTCATGGCCTTACAACTTCTCGTCAGCAAGTTGCGAATACGTAATAATTAGAGGCGCAGGAACTGCACTTTTGAGGTATAAAAGGCAGTTTGGCTCGCAGTTCACTTTGAAGTGTGCAACATGGTCAGTGTGCAGCTCATCTTCTTCTTGCTGGTTGTGGCAACTGTCTTAGGATGCGCTTGGACGAATCCTGTGGACGAGGATCCTGCAGCAACACTAGAGGATGTGGCTGATTTGGGTGGCCAGGAAGCAAAGGAGGGCGATAGGACAGCTCGCTGGCTAGGCGGAGGTTGGGGAGGCGGCTGGAATGGAGGCTGGAACGGAGGCTGGAATGGAGGCTGGAACAGAGGATGGAGTATTGCGTACAGACCCTGGAGAAGCAGCTATAGTAATGCCTGGTGGTAGCAGTCCCAAACAGTAGCTTCCCAAAACTTAATGCCAACTTTGAAATAAAGTGATACAATAGTATAATCAAGTTATGTTAAAGTTCTCTGAAAGCTCTTGAGCTCAAAATGATGCCTATTAAGTTGACAAAGAAACCACAGCTTTAAAGAGCTTCCAATAGCCAATTTAAAAACCAGAAAATTATTCAATTAAATTGTTTGCGCTGCGACATTTTATGGTATCAAATAAATTTGTCAAACGTAAACAAGAACATTTAAAAATGTAAACAAGAAACAGGAATGCTGGTCGATTCTTTGGGTCGCTGGATCCAATAAAAGGCCACAGCCTTGGTTCCAAAAATGACAGTTGCACATAGCAAAGATCCAAGCACAATCGAAGCAATCTATCCAAGAAATCACCTAGCCGAAGTATCTCCAAGATGCGTCTTATCCTTCTGTCCATCGCTGGCCTTCTGTGCCTGGCCTATGCCTTCGCTCTGAACGATAATGGAGCATCTAATCTGGAGGACCTGGCCAATCTGGGAGCAGGCCATGCCGAAAGCGGAGTGCGAGAGGCTCGTGGTTATGGTCATGGGAACTACGGACACGGCAGTTACGGACATGGTCATGGCGGTGGCGGTGGTCATGGACATGGCCATTACGGTGGCGGTGGTTATGATGACCCGATGTATTTAAAGCAAAAATCATTAAAATAATGTTTGCGATTGGATGTCTTTAATAAAAATGAGGAAATCGTAATCTGAAACAAATCGGAACTTCTTGTTCGAAGAATTAGATTATGGAAAGACTTATTAAGCTTATTCACCTTCAGCCCACATTGCTATCTTTAAATCTGTGAAATGAAAAGAAATTGAAATAGCAGACTAGATGAATTTCAAATAACTGGTTAAAAACCATAGAAATTGTAGACTTTTTAGAATGACAAGCGCCTTTTCTACACAGAGACTGAGTTAGGAGAGCTTTATTTTTGAAAAAGCTCAAGCACGTCTTATATTAATTTTGTGGATTTTAAGTTCACAAGTTAGATATATCCATACAAATTAGTAGGCGTGAATTTTGTTGGCCCGAACAAATTAAGGCAAATTAGTTAAATGTTTATATTTTGTTTTGAAAAGTAGGGGATATTTTGATGAAACCTGTATGAGAATTCAAGTTCAACGGCTTGCACTCGTAAATCCCTAGTTGTTTACTTTTTAGACTATAGATAGTGAGAAGTTGATCTTGACATTCATTAAACAATTGATAGCTTGTTTCCATATTAATCCTTTTGAATAAGTACTTAGTTAAATGGGATTATGGGATTAATGAGCAGCAGATTAGTATATCATGTTATATGTGCATACCCACTGCTTTTAGCGAAGGAGGGTATACCAGGCTCTTTTAGAGGTATGTAACAGGTAGAAGGAAGCGTTTCCGATTTTATAAAGTGGTCATTTTTTTTAAATTCTATTATATAGGTCAACTAATTCGTTGCTTAAATTTCTCCCTAGCTAAGTAACGGGTATCTGATAGCCAAGAAAATCGACCGTCTAGTCAAAGATTTGTTGATTATTACTTGTAAATGGAAAAGTTTCTGTTGCGCATACTTGGCTTTGCTTGTTAAGTTTTATGGACACTCTAAATGGCATTTAGCTGCCGATGCAGTTCAGTAAAAACCCATAAAATAAAACAGGTCCCAATTGTTGACGGTCCACTAATCCTAATCGAATGATCTATGTGTGAAACCACTTACGAGCAGCATCCCGACAACTTTCGCAAATGAGACATTAAAATTTGGAATGAATCAGTAATGACAGGCAAAAAGTTACAAAAAAAAAAGCCAAGGTACACAGAATAACAAAGAGTGTAAAATTTGTGTGGTGAAATATAACGATACAAACCAGAACCCGGTCAAAAAGCCCCTAAACAATCGCACCTAGCGGCCAGCTATACGAGTATAGTACATACACAGTATAGTATTGTATAGTATAGTATAGAATACTACGGCAAGAGGTGGTGATGGAGCTATGGAGGGGGTTGTGGAAAGACCCGACTCATCGATGCGTATGAGAACAGGAACGCCGAGTGGCGAGATCTTCGCATATAAGACCTGCGATTGAGACGAACAAATCATCAGTTGCACTCGAGCCTGTACCAGCAACCCATTGAATCAAGCAGAAAGCAAGATGCGTCTAACACTTCTGGCCCTCATCGGTGTCCTGTGCCTGGCCTGTGCCTACGCCTTGGATGATGCCGAGACCAACGATCAGGTGGTGGGACTCCTGGACGTCGCCGATCAGGGAGCGAACCATGCCAACGATGGAGCCCGAGAGGCGCGCCAGTGGGGAGGATACGGAGGATGGGGTGGTCGCGGCGGATACGGAGGATGGGGTGGCCGTGGAGGATACGGAGGCGGCTGGGGCGGTCGCGGAGGTGGCTGGGGCGGTCGTGGAGGTGGCTGGGGCGGTCGCGGAGGTGGCTGGTATGGCCGCTAGAACGGCAGACATCGCTGACCACGCCTCCGGGCCATTCCGACCACTTGCCAAGTCTGAGGATCCCCTTTACTGACGTCATGGCATGAATAAAGAACTTTGGAGCATTTAAAATTCGATTTTTAATTGGTATGGCTAACTTAATGGATAATCATCTCCAGACGTCGGATGGAATTAAAGGTAATCAGATGTACTGGGCGCTTTGTAATGACTTCCCAATGATTTGCTATCCATTAAACCACTTAACACTTAACTTAACCCCTATATCTTTAATGAATAATGCATCGAAATGTTGGATCAATCTGTAATGAGAGCTGCCAAAATAACAGAAAAAGTGAGTGACCTTTGCCACCATCGTTCATCGGATCGAACTTGTGGATGTGGATCCACTTGCCCAGTCAGAAGGACGCCCTGCCATGGATTTGAAGGTGTTATTAGGAGCAGTGAAGCACTTAAGCTTGATTTTCGATTCGGGTTCTTGAAAAGCTGTGAAAGATGGTCGAGATCTTGACATTAGAACGGATGGGCGGACATGGCTGGATCGATAAATATAAGTCCGCCACAACTTAAGCTTTCAATATTTCTGTACTGACAGGCGACACAATGGCTAAAAAAGGTACTGCTATACGAAATTAGAATAGTAATATATATCGCTGTAAGAAAAAACGCCGCCTAAAACTACGATAAACAATCATATTTACCGTAGAGAAGCTACGAGTGTAAGATATTTCCGTATAAGTGCTGCCGTCCAGTCGAGAAAGCCATCAGTTGCACTTGAGTTTCAACCAGCAATCTATCCAATCGAAGGAAAAGCGAGATGCGTCCCACACTCCAGGTGCTCATCAGTGTCCTGTGCCTGCTCTACACGTTCGCCTGGGATCATAGGGACTACAATTATCCCGGAATCGAGTTTGTGGAGTACGCCGATGAGGGCGCTAATTGTCATAGCGATGAATCTCCAGACTGGGATTTCTTTGAGTTTTGGCGGCGATTGTTCAGCCGTTAGTGTTCCGACATCGCTGACCACGCCTCCGGTCAAATGAATCACTTGGCGAGACAGGTGACCTCGGATGTCGAGGCGTGAATAAAGAGCATTAAAATTTAAACACTGTATGCTCATTTGGTATGCCTGAAGAGGTGTCAAACGGAGGTATTATTATTATTTAGGCGTGCTGTTATACCCTCGCAAGGAGTTATTCCACGAGCAGGAAATTTGCAATATCCATAAGAAATCTCTGTACTTACAAGGATTAATGCTAGCAAGGACATTTTCAATTGGTGTTACTTTCTTGGGGAGTCTTGAATACCCTTTCCCAGGACATCGGGCTTATTTGATTATGCAGCAGCGTAATGATGTAAAGGGTATTCAAGAGCTGTGCTGGCCCACCCGCATGTCACTCACTCCTGGTCAATGGAAAGGCTTAAAACCCCTGTGCCGAGCCCACTGGCCTTAGTGCGAGGCCAAGTTGACCACTGCCGACATGGACAGTTTCCTGCAAGTGCAAAAGAGCACCATCGCCCTGCTGGGATTCGATCTCTTCAGCGATGACCGAGAGATGTGGAAGCGCCCCTACAGAGCCATCAACGTGTTTGGCATAGCTGCCATTTTCCCCTTTATCCTGGCAGCCGTGCTCCACAACTGGATGAACATAATGCAGCTGGCCGATGCCATGGTGGCACTACTGATCACCATACTGGGCCTATTCAAGTTCAGCATGATACTGCACCTGCGTCGCGATTTCAAGCGCCTGATTGACAAATTTCGCCTCCTCATGTCGAATGGTTAGCAACAACTGACCAAGCCCAGAATGTGTAACTTTCAAACTGTCATTTTCAAGAGGCGGACCAGGGCAAGGAGTACGCAGAGATCCTGGACGCGGCCAACGGGCAGGATCAACGCATGTGCACTCTGTTTAGGACCTGTTTCCTCCTCGCCTGGGCCCTGAATAGTGTGCTGCCCTTCGTGAGAATGGGTTTCAGCTACTGGCAGACAGGTCATGTCGAGCCGGAGTTGCCTTTTCCCTGCCTGTACGTGCAAATGATATAGCAACCTTGATCATTTAGTAGGGTTTTGTGCCTACAGTTTTCCCTGGGACATTCACATCATCCGCAATTATGCGTTGAGCTTTGTCTGGAGCGCCTTCGCCTCGACAGGTGTGGTCTTACCTGCCGTCAGCTTGGACACCATATTCTGCTCGTTCACCAGCAACCTGTGCGCCTTCTTCAAGATCGCCCAGTACAAGGTGGTGCGATTTAGGGGCAGATCTCTCAAGGAGTCGCAGGCCACATTGAACCAAGTGTTTGCCCTGTACCAGACCAGCCTGGAGATGTGCAACGATCTGAATCAGTGCTACCAGCCGATCATCTGCGCCCAGTTCTTCATCTCATCCCTGCAGCTCTGCATGCTGGGCTACCTGTTCTCCATTACTTTTGCCCAAACAGAGGGCGTCTACTATGCCTCATTCATAGCCACCATCATCATACAGGCCTATATCTACTGCTACTGCGGCGAGAATCTGAAGACGGAGAGTGCCCTTTTCGAGTGGGCCATCTACGACAGTCCCTGGCACGAGAGCTTGGGTGCTGGTGGCGCCTCCACCTCGATCTGCCGCTCTTTGCTGATCAGCATGATGCGGGCCCATCGAGGGTTTCGCATCACCGGTTACTTCTTCGAGGCCAACATGGAGGCCTTCTCATCGGTGGGTGCCTGGTTCCAAGGAAGCTTCTAGCTACTACCACTTTCCATTTTCAGATTGTGCGCACGGCGATGTCCTACATAACAATGCTGAGATCCTTCTCCTAAATGGCTCAACAAGGCTTTGGATTGATTTTTGTGCAATTTTTGTTTTATTGCTGAGCTGCGTTGCCGTACGACACTTAACAATCGATCTTACGTCATTTACAAGGGTTGATCTCACACAAAGTTCGTTAAGCACTAAGTAGAATGTAGAATGTAGATTGTAGAGTGTAGAATGTGAGTTGGCTGTAGAAATGCACAGATGACGCACGAAGGGAGTGAGATTTCTCAGGGGCGGGATAGAAAATGAAGATGATTCTGGGTGGGATGATGCTGCTCTCTCTCTCCTGTCTGTTTCTGGTTCACTTTCGGCCAGCTTGGCACGTAATGATTGCCAACTTGAGCATAACGTTGAAGAATTGAAACGCGTTTCTACAGCGAAGCGCATTACTTGAAGAATCTGCCGGGAGCGCCGGCGGCGCGAACTGGAGGCGGAGTGGGTATGTGGGCACCTTCGGCGCGGTATCCGTTCTCATCGGCAATGTAGTTGATGGTGTAGACCACGCCATCGGGTCCGGTGTACGAGTAGGAGCCCTGCATCACCTGTAGTGCCGGGAGACAAAGAGTTTCAGCCGCGCCACAAAGTAGGCTACGATTTGGTGCATGCTGCACCGAAAAGCGCACTAACCTGAGCTTCGATTTGACTGCCCGGGTTCTTCAGGTAGCCAGTCTCATCCGCACGGATGCCGTTGCTTGTCTCGTAGCTGCAAGTTTAAAGATACAAGTTAATTCTCATTAGAAATCATGTGGCATAAGCTGACAAAGTAGGGGTAGTAAGTTGCAACTGGAGCAGGCTATGAAAAGAAAAGACTCACAGAAGTAGGTGCAATGTGTTTTTAGATTATGTATAAATTATATTATATGCCCTGAAGAATATGTTGGAGATATATAGGGTTTTAAAATGATATCCATATAATTTTCATTTATGAAAATTTCAGTTGAAGATTCTTGATTTTCTCGATTCCAAAAGCTTCTCGCACATCAAGCGAACCTATTCTTTCAGATTAGATGCTAAATATGATCCTCAATGAAATGGTTTCACAAGAATTTGGTTGTACTTATTTAAAGTCCTTGAAAGTATCTGATAGTCCTATCTATTTAGTCCAGGGAGCCCACTTACTTGTACTGATAGGAGCCATCGGGATTCTGGTCGAAACTCTGCTTGAGAATGACCGCGTTCGCGTCGAAGGAGTTGCCGCGGGGCGGGGGAAGTCCGCGTTGTGGCTGGGCCTGAATGAAACTGAGGCAGCAGAGGGCCAAGACGAGGGCTGCGGAGGAGGCGTGGCTGAGCGGCATGACCTTTAGTGGGCGAGAGAGAAGAGGGAAACGCGCGGCGGTACGTTGGTTAAATAGAGTCATAACTAAGTGCTGCAGATGAGGTGCGGTGTTTTAAGTTTGGTGTTTGGTGTTTGGCGTATAGTTTTCGGTGCTTGGTGCTCGATTGAGATGCCGCCGGCGTTGTCTTTGAATGTCAAACTCGTTGCTTGGCAATTAGTATTTGATATACTCCGATTGGCTTTTGCGATTTGAAAGTGCTGCGAAATTTTGATGGCAATGCAGGCGGAGATCGTGGGAAAAAATATCCGGACTTGGCTTTGAACTTTTGCAACTAAGTTTGGGGTATCCTCTATGCAGGATCAGCTCCACTTGTCCCTGCACTCGTTCGAAATTTTTCGCCTGTGTGTGATCCTGTCTTTCAAGGACCCCACCAGCGCAAACGGAACGCAAACTCACTTCGGATTCGCGACTTGTTAGCGGTTACTGCGCTGGGAGGCTCGTCTAAAGTGCTTTGACTTGGCTGCAGTTGCCACAAACGTTTTTATACCGAAATCGCACTCACTGCAGCTCAAAGCAGAGCAGCGGCAGAAGCAGCATCCGCAGCCAGATGCAGTGCAGCAGCCCAGATCTGGCGGCTGGAAGGGCAGGAGGTGCCGACGACCGGGTGGAGCGGGCGGACCGGGCCGAGCGGGAATCGAAACAAACAGTGTTTGTCTACCTGACAGCAACAGCAACAGCAACAGAATCGGAAGAGCTGCCGTCGCTGCCAGTGCACCACGTAGCGTATGCGCAACGAGTTTCAAATGCAAATGGGCGTTGCGCATACGCCGCGTATGCAGCTTACAGCAAACGGGGCTCACAGTTCTGCGCGGTGTAATTTATGGGAATTAGCAATGCGAACTTCATTTGATTAGTGCCCCCGCTGGATGCTCGACTGGGTGCAAGAATTCGTTAAGTCAAATATTAATTAAAAGATTACAGATGTTGCAATTCGATTTGATGAATTGGCCATTTGGGCATTTGGCCACATGCCTGCCAATGAGTCGCGATAGAATCTCTGCCGACTGGCATTTGAATGGGCCGCGGGTTGGGGCGTGGCCAGCTTGTCCATTTCAATGCATCGTTAAAGTGCATTATTTGTCTTTGTTTACGCGGTTCGCCCTATGTGGACCGGGTGAGCCTGCCCTTTTAGGCCAATTTCGCTGACCAGGTCGAGCAAGGCAACAGGCAAAAGGCACCACTCCCAGCTGCACCAGTAACTCGCTCCCATTTGGCACATTTTCGCCGGCCGGCTAAGGCTACTTTTGTGGTTCGGCTTAAACTTTAAACTTTGCCAGCGTGTAGGAAATGTCAGTTGCAATTCATAAAAATTACAGCAATAACTGCTGCCAAAAATGCAGCCAGCTCGGCGTTGGCAGATGATCACGAGCATGATGAACATCGCCCGAGATTTTTGGCCAACTCCCGCTGCCCGTTTGGTTTTCCCTTTCGTTTGTTTTCCATGTTACTTGGCCAATTTCGCGGTTGCCCGCGTTTTGCTTTTGGCCTTCGAGCTGCTTTTCAAAATTGCAGTTATTCGCCGAGAGGAAGAGTTGTTTTGCCGCTGGCTTATTGCCTTCTTCACATTTGACATACAATTTGGCTTACTCACTGCTAGACGATGTTTTTTGTTTTGTTTTTCTTTTGCACACACTCAGGATGGCCGAGTAGTTTCCCGTGTGATGACTGATGACTGATGGATCGCGTGCGATGCGAATCCGAAACCGATACATGCACTTGTTTTAAGCGCACCTCAAATGTATCTTAATTTATGCCCCTTTGTCTGCTGGAGCGTGTGTAGCACTATGCTGCTATGCTAATCGAGTGCAGTTTCCTAAACATTGGCAATCAATCAGCTTGCCTAGGTATTTCGGGCACTTAAGGTGATGGATTGACTGCCAGCCAATGCGAAACAAGTTTATGACGTGTTTCGGACACGAAGATCAACCTGTCTTGGCGGGTTTTTTATTTTTTGCGATTACTGGAATATTCGGATTGCCGGCCAAAATCGAACTCATTACAGTGCCCCATCATCATGGGCTTTATCACTTGACCTCTGGTTTTTTTTGGTGACTTACGTTTCAGCCAACTTGGCTGAATCACAAATATGCAAATGGTGTCGTTAAGATGTGAGTATTTTATTAAGTCACATTCTGCGCGCTTCCATAGAATTTCTTTTGTTTTTTCCGTTTTTTCCGTTTTTTCTTTCGCTTTTGTTTTGGGTATATTTCTGTATTTTTTCGGTTATGGCGTAATGGGACTGAAAGATGCTAATTCGCGGCTGCTGCGCACACTAAACGCCGGTATATAAAGTGGCTGGAAGATGTGGCAAGCCAAGTCGTCCGCCGGTTCCCGCCTAGAAAGCACCAAATCCCTCACTCCACTCTCACCCCCATCGAAAGAATAGCCGCCAAAATGTTCAAGATCGCCATCTGCTTGTTGGCCCTGGCCAGTGGATCTCTGGCCGCCAGCATTGGCCAGGTGGACAGCACCACCGAGAAACGCGAGATTGTGCCGCTGCTGAAGTTCGAGACGAACAAGAACCCCGACGGTTCCTTCCACTTCAGCTACGAGGGCGGCGATCAGTCCATACGCCAGGAGCAGGGCGTGATCGAGAACGCAGGCACAGAGGATGAGGCCCTGGAGGTATCCGGCATGTACAGCTACATCGATGCCGATGGCAACACCGTGGAGGTGCACTACACAGCCGGAAAGAACGGATTCGTGCCCATTGGCACCATCATTCCCAAGGAGATCACCGAGCTGGCCAAGTCAGCTGCCCTGCTGCCCAAGGTTACCGAGGATGAGCAGAAGTACCGCAGGGGCCGATCCCAGGAATCGGAAAACAAGGAGGCTGCTGTCGAGCAGGAAGCCGCTCCTGCCGAAAAGGAGGAGCCTGTGGTTGCCAGCGAATCGGTTGCGCTGGAGAAATCCGAGCCCCTGCCCGCCGAGTCCCAGCTGGTGCCCGTCCAGGTGCTGATCGATGCCGTGCCCGAGGCGGAGGTCAAGACCGCCGTCGTGGCTGAAACCGAGTCCGAGGCCGAGAAGAAGGTTGAGACCAAGACTGCCTAAGCTCTTCTAGATAGTAGACTACCTAAGTATTGTTTAATTTAAAACCAAGTGCGCTCTAATTTAACTGGCTAGCAATAAAACGATTCCTTATCTGGTATCCGCATCTTTCTGCAATCAAATGGAACGATGGCAGCTGCATGTGAAATTGCGGATTCCGTGCGGCATACAAATACTTATCATAAATTTCGCTATGGTTAGTGCTAATTTAAGCAGAAATCTGGCCGCATTATCTCACCGACAGCAAACTGTTGGCTTATAACTTTATTGCAGAATATAAAGAGATTAACGATTTGTATAATCAAACAAGAACGGCTTGGTGAGCACAAAGCAACTGCAAATATTTTGTTGATTAGTAATGCGGCAAAACAAAATACTGTTAGAGCAATATATTCAAAAGATTTTCGCAAAAACATTTTTATGGTTCTCACAAAGCTGGGTTTCATTAAAGACTTGAAATCCTTTTTTTTTTAAATTGGTAATGTTGTTTATATTGTTGTTGAGCAATAACGAGAATAACAGTAACCACATAAAACACAACTTGGAAAGGCATAAACTTTTGTAAACGAACAAGTTTGATCTTTTCAAGAGTTCACAAGTTAACATTGACTTTATTTGATGGAATTTCGAAACATCCTGATTTTAACAACACTAGAAAGTCTAGGGATTTTGCTCAATAGTTGGGAATTATTATATGCCCAGCGCGAAATGCGTGACGAAACCACTTGCTCCAAGGTCCACGAACTGCTGGAGTCACAGAAATGCGACTTTGTGCGAAAAGTGCCGGATTGCCTAGTCAATATGAATTTGATCAACTACCTGGGTTGGCATTACTGCAAGGTGGACGTCCGGAATAGCTTCAATTCCTCCTGGAGTGTGTTGGGCATGTTTCTGATTGCCGTCTACGTCTTCTGGATGATGCAGATAACCATAAAAAACTAGTGAGTTCGCCAGTGATGTGCAAATGCACTGAGTACATGTTTTAAATACTCACCCAGTTTTTGTCCCACCCTGATGGTGATTGCGGACCTACTGCGAATGAACGAGAGCACGGCTGGAGTTACGGTTCTGGCCGTTGCCAGCGGATCGCCGGATTTCTTCACGGCAATCGCCTCGAGAATGCAGGGCTCCAAGTACTCCTTCCTCGCGTGCATGTCGCAGGCCATGTTCCTGCACTTCTTTGTGGCCGGACTGGTGATCCTGACCAAGCCCTTCCACATGCAGCCAAACACATACCTGAGGGATTTCGGTTTCCTGTTCCTCAACACCGTCTACATGGACTACATACACAAGCGACCCCATGGAATCAGCTGGGTAGCTGCCTTGCCCAGTGCCTTTATATTCGTGGGCTATGTGGTGGTGACCATCGTTGATCAGTACTTGCTGATTGCCCGCATACAAAGTGAGTTCTCTGCTTAGTCATCAACAAAGTGGGTTCGAATACCCCATACTCTTTGTCAGAGATGGAGCAACGACAACTGAATGTTGCCGAGGCGCTGCAGCTGGAGGCACTGAAGCCGCAGAAGGAGTTGCCACTGATGCGCCCGGAAATCCAACGCCCATCCATGGGTCAGGGCAGTCGAAATAAGCGAATATTCCGGCAATTCTGGAACACCGTCGCCGAATTCGACCAGGATCGCTTCCAGCGTGGTACCCTCCTGCTGAAGGTGTTCCTGATAGTGAAGCAACCCATCGACATGTTGCTGAGACTACTCATACCAAAGGTCGACATGAACGCGCCTCTCTACGGATGGTCCAAGCTGCTCTTCAACATGCAGGTGGTTCTCGTGCCCACCTACATAGCCTACATAATACGTGAGCTCCAATTCACAGAATGCAGCTTACCTCCAACTCACGTTCTATATCTATATTTCAGTTAGGGGATATAGCGTTGCGGGCTTCGCCGCCTATATGATTGCGCTTATCAGCATGGTTCCTGTGGCTATCTTGATATTTTTCCTCACGCGCACTGACACCCCGCCCATCTTTTTCCGGGTAAGTTTTCGCATATTTGAGGCCTGTTCCCATACGAAGAAGCGCTTTTCTTTGAATGACAAGGAATATTGCTCCTAACTTTAGATAGGGACTAGGCTAGTATGATAACCAAATGGAGTTTCACTTGCAGTATACATCTGGCATGGGCTTCCTGGCCGCCGTCTTCCTCATCTTCTGCCTGACAACCGAGGTGAATGCCATGTTCTTCACGATGGCGACCATATTGAATGTGAGCCAGGAATTCCTGCTGGCGACCGCCGTGTGCTGGGCACTGAGCAGCAACGACTTGGTGGCGAATCTCTCACTGTCCCACCAGGGATGGCCTCGCATGGCCATGACGGCCACGTTCTCCGCGCCAGTATTTGGTGGGTAGTCATGGCTGATCCTAGAGAAGTCTATGTAGCTCTGGCCTTCCTTACAGGATCCTTTGTGTTTTTGGCCATGCCCTTGTTGGTGAACTCGTTTGTAGAAGCGCCCGGGAATATATACGTAAGTAGTGCAGTAAATGTTGCGATGTAAAGTAGTTTCCAAGTTTTTTTGGCCAGCAGCCAGCGGAAGGCAGATTCGGGGAGACGGCGTGCATCTTCTTGGAGGTCGGAATGGGCTTCTCGATGCTCTCCGTGCTAACCACGAACTTTAAGCTGCGACGAGCTTGTGGCTTTCTGCTGGTTACCTACTACATCTTCTTTCTGGGAGTGCTCATACTTCTGGAGAAGGGCGTGATCCATGCATACGGCGTGTAAACAGGAAGGAAATTGTGCTGAGAGCTTGAAACCTATAAAATATGCAAATTGCGAGATGATTTATGCCTCATTATATAGCCAATTTCATTCTTTCATGTTTCCCTGTTCGTTAGATCTTCATTTCGTCTTTGATTCAAGCTAATGGACGATGTTTAGGCGTGTAAAGATGTATTGAAACAGATGTCTCTCTGGTTTGATGCCCCCAGGGCCCACTGTACCCGCAAAGTGGCCAAACGTGTGCTTAATCATCCGACGTCCCAGACTTCGATACTGGTCCAAGTTTGGTCTGTTTTCAAGGTCTTTTCAGCCGGGTATGTCCCTTGTGCACCCAGAAAAATAATTAACGAAATATGGAAAAAAGCTTAGGTGAAGCGAAGATACAAAGTGATTTTTTAATATAAAATGGCTTTGCTCTGCTCCCACTTTTCTCTGTGCATCTTCGCATGCTAAGTATGCAAATTGGTAGAACACACAGACAGAATGAAACGATTCTATCGCAGTCGTGTTGGTTTTTATTTTAGTTTGCCCAGCGACAAGACTTGGGACTTATCATTATCTTATTAACTTCTACGAGATCTATGTCAGGAACGCTGCTTAAGGCTTCTCCACCTTCTCCGGCTTGGGCAGATCCTTGGCTGCCTCAGCAACGGCCGTGATTTCCGGATTGATGATGCTGCCGTAGGGCACAAATCCGTTCTTTCCCGCCGTATAGAACACCTCCACCTCCTGGCCCTCGTCGTTGATGTACTTGTAGGATCCCTTCACCTCCAGAGCCTCCTCGTCGGTGCCCTTGTCCACCACCACAGCCTCCTCGTTGCGGGATGTTCCATCTGCTGCCTCGTATACGGTGTTATAGCCACCATCCACTTTCTTGATGATCTCGGACTTCAGGATGGCCACGGGCTCGCGTTCGGGCTCCACGGGCAGGGCGTGGCCACAGGCCACCAGCACAGCCAGGACGAAGAGAGGAAGCTGCAGGAGATCATAATAGACACACTCATTATCCTGCTTCGAGTCGGCAAATCCCCATGTATTTCACATTCCACTTTAGCGTATCATATGTAGTTCAGAGGATATTTGATAGGCTGCGACTTACAATCTTGCACATTTTGGTTGCGTTTTTTTGGGAGCGTAGAAAGCGAGAGTTAAAGCGCGTGTGATCACAAAGTGGATCGGCCAGTTGGCTTTTATAGCCACACACTCCTCCATCAGTATTTCGACCGCATCCAGCTCTTTCGGCTCTTTCGCTTAAACATGCTAAACATGTTTGCATCCCGTTTTATGTGGACTTTACGTCCGCGAAAGCTCCCATAATATCATATCGTCTCGCTCCAAATGTCAAGGTCTCGGATGGGTCAGTTTTTGGGTGCTGGGGTTTCGAAAATGTGTCACTATGCTGGCGGCATCTGAGTCACATTGGCATGGCGGCGATTGATGACACCGATTATCATTCGCCGGCCACATTAACGGCCTCTGCAACTGCATAACTTACACGGCTTCACCCACTCACCAGGTGTCGCGATTAATCAGTCGCACCTCGCACTCTACACCACAATCTACTCCACACCAATCCCAGAAATGTGTAAAATGCCAGCTTTGATGCAGTTTATACTATGATCCACTCTGGGGTGTAGCCGCTAGCCCAGGGCGAATATCTAACTATCTATCTATCTATCTGTCTGTACAGCCATATCTGTAACTACAGATCGCACATCTTCGGCTGACAAATGACTCGATTCAGAATCGCGATGGGGTGCATCAGCAATTTCATTTACATTGCGGCGCCATTAATTCAATCAACGCTTTTTTTTCTGTTCGTTACGTACTTCATGGGGTGATAAATACTAATTCATTTATTGCACCCAACGACATTTGACTGGGACCTGGCAAAAGGGCAAACTGCGCTGCTGCCACAATTTATAACATTGACGGCTTAACTAATTTCAAAAATCGAACGCAAATTAAATATATTAGCGATAGGCAAGGGAGCCAAATTCAGCTGCTGGACGCGGCACACACAAAAGAAATGTGTATTCATTGAAATAACACAAAATCCGCAGACTTTACGCAACAAGTATCTCTATCTTTTATTTCGTAGATATAAAAAACGCAGCTTGATTGATAACCATTATTACTATTACTTAAAATGTCTTCCTAAACATTTTTACTATTACTTAAAATGTACTTCTTAGACATTTTTACCATTACTTAAATTAACTTCTTAGACTTTTTACAATTACTTAAAGTACTTCTTAGACATTTTTACTATTACTTAAATGTACTTCTCAGACATTTTTACTATTACTTAAAATGTACATCTGAGACATTTTATTTGTTGAGCGAGTAGAGTTAAAAATTCTATCAACATATAGTGAATAAATAAAACAAAATTCAATTGATTTTATTTCAATAATAATACTAGTTTGCGTATATTTTTTTCCGTGTGCCGCTCCTTGAGCTTGGCTTTGGTAATTGTGTCTGGCTAACATTTTCAAGAATGTGCGCCCATCAAAGATAATGGCTCTATGCGAAATGGTTTACAGCCTTCCCCTTGGATGAGTACCTAACATGGGGCAGAAAGCCATTCTTGTCCGCCGTGTAGCGCACCTCCACCTCCTGGCCCGCGTCGTCGATATAGCGATAAGTACCGGACACCTCGAGATCGTCGCCAGATCTCTTCGAATCGGTGTTCGCTATGCCCAGCTCCTCGCGATAGGTGCCATCTGCGGTCTCGTATGAAAAGAGGTAGGAGCCGGAGCTGAGTTGTTCGGCCACCGATTTGAGGATTGGCACCGGCTCGTTAATGGAAGTACTCGCAGCGGGCCAACTCCACAGCAGTTGCCAGCCAGTCAAGATCAATAGCTGGAAGTTCCCCAAAAAAAATAAAAAAAAATGTATGAAAAAAACATGAAGAAAAATGATGTGGAGTCACTTAACGCCAGGGTATTCATGAGCCATCCGCTACTTACCAATGCGAACATGATTTATGCTAATACTAAGCGCGTAGCAAAGATTCTGCGCCTTTTATAGCACTTCGTTAGACGATATCCCAGATATTCTAGTATGTATATAGAGACATTTCTCCACCCATCAGTAGGCAAAAGTTATGCAATGCCAGATGCTTTTTGCCTAATTGAGGTCAGTAGAAAGTAGCGGGTCGAGTTTGTGGCATTTCTGGGGTTGTTGAACCGCAGATTTGCAATTCAAATGGCCATTAAGAAGTGTGGAGAGCAGGTAAACTGTCATGTTTACAATGCAGATAGCATCATAGACACATGTGAGTCGCGTGGGCTCTGCTCGAAAGGTGCAGCAGCTAATAAAATTTGTCACAATTCGGCACTGCGGCAATTTGTGGCAAGCGAAAGGCACAGAAATGCTGCAACTGACTTCTAAATGCAAATTGCAGCCAGCAAATTTTGATACAGTGGGTGGGCACCTCTGGGCCTTTGAGAAGCGGCTAACATTTATGGCAAACGGCAAGACAAAAAGAATTCAATAATAATTTCCAGCAATTTCGCAACTGAGCTGCGGCACCAGCAGCACCACATTGCGGCAGAAGTTGCAGAAGTTTTGGCATTTGCCTTGGCCCGCCCAGTTCCAATTTCCAGTTCCACTTGCCAAAACGGCCAGGCACTCGGGCAACGTGTTAATAAATTGATTCTTGCTGGCTCCCCAGTCCGTTGGTTTGGTTTAAATCCCGCGGAATCAGCTATGACTGCTATCGTGCACATTGAGAAATTATTGGGGAAATAAGTCACCTGAAAAGGATTCCATTACAATTAATTTGGTTTTGTTTCTGTTAAAACAGAATGGAAATATAAAAACCCATTATAAATTTATGGTCTTCTTGATTTTTTAAATTGGCTGCAAAAACTATTGATGCATATACAACTTCGCAAATTGAGGTGTTCTTCGTCATTACGTGCCATTCACTGTTATTGGATTGTCTGTTTTATGTAAAACGATGTAGTAATTATACCCGTTACTCGTACAGTAAAAGGGTATCTTAGATTCATTGAAAAGTATGTAACAAGCAGAAGGAAACGTTTCCGACCATATAAGGTATATGTATGTACATGTATGTATATTCTTGACCAGGATCAACAGCAAAAAAATTTAAAAGTGTCCCAAGGCTGAAGTTCTATAGTCCATAACTCAACCTATCTTAATCGGATTTTGAAGTGGCATACCTCTAAATGTTTCTGGTGCAATTCTCTAAAAAACTGCATTCAAATTTAGAAATGTATTTTTTTTCAATTTTTTTTGCAATTTTTCTGATGTGGTAATGTCGAAATTCAACATAGTTAAGAAATGTCCCAAGGCTGAAGTTCAAAACTCCATAACTCAACTCATCTTAATCGGATTTTGAAGTGGCATACCTCTAAATGTTTCTGGCGCAATTCTCTAAAAAACTGCATTCAAATTTAGAAATTTATTTTTTTTCAATTTTTTTGCAATTTTTCTGATGTGGTAATGTCGAAATTCAACAAAGTTAAGAAATGTCCCAAGGCTGAAGTTCAAAACTCCATAACTCAACTAATCTTAATCGGATTTTGAAGTGGCATACCTCTAAATGTTTCTGGTGCAATTCTCTAAAAAACTGCATTCAAATTTAGAAATGTATTTTTTTTCAATTTTTTTGCAATTTTTCTGATGTGGTAATGTCGAAATTCAACATAGTTAAGAAATGTCCCAAGGCTGAAGTTCAAAACTCCATAACTCAACCTATCTTAATCGGATTTTGAAGTGGCATACCTCTAAATGTTTCTGGTGCAATTCTCTAAAAAACTGCATTCAAATTTAGAAATTTATTTTTTTTCAATTTTTTTGCAATTTTTCTGATGTGGTAATGTCGAAATTCAACAAAGTTAAGAAATGTCCCAAGGCTAAAGTTCAAAACTCCATAACTCAACTAATCTTAATCGGATTTTGAAGTGGCATACCTCTAAATGTTTCTGGTGCAATTCTCTAAAAAACTGCATTCAAATTTAGAAATGTATTTTTTTTCAATTTTTTTGCAATTTTTCTGATGTGGTAATGTCGAAATTCAACATAGTTAAGAAATGTCCCAAGGCTGAAGTTCAAAACTCCATAACTCAACCTATCTTAATCGGATTTTGAAGTGGCATACCTCTAAATGTTTCTGGTGCAATTCTCTAAAAAACTGCATTCAAATTTAGAAATTTATTTTTTTTCAATTTTTTTGCAATTTTTCTGATGTGGTAATGTCGAAATTCAACAAAGTTAAGAAATGTCCCAAGGCTAAAGTTCAAAACTCCATAACTCAACTAATCTTAATCGGATTTTGAAGTGGCATACCTCTAAATGTTTCTGGCGCAATTCTCTAAAAAACTGCATTCAAATTTAAAAATTTATTTTTTTTCAATTTTTTTGTAATTTTTTTGATGTGATGATGTGTAGAGATTCAACAAAGTTAAGAAATGTCCCAGGGCTGAAGTTCAAAACTCCATAACTCAACTAATCTTAATCGGATTTTGAAGTGGCATACCTCTAAATGTTTCTGGTGCAATTCTCTAAAAAACTGCATTCAAATTTAGAAATGTATTTTTTTTCAATTTTTTTGCAATTTTTCTGATGTGGTAATGTCGAAATTCAACATAGTTAAGAAATGTCCCAAGGCTGAAGTTCAAAACTCCATAACTCAACTCATCTTAATCGGATTTTGAAGTGGCATACCTCTAAATGTTTCTGGCGCAATTCTCTAAAAAACTGCATTCAAATTTAGAAATTTATTTTTTTTCAATTTTTTTGTAATTTTTTTGATGTGATGATGTGTAGAGATTCAACAAAGTTAAGAAATTTAATTTTTTTCAATTTTTTTGCAATTTTTCTGATGTGGTAATGTCGAAATTCAACAAAGTTAAGAAATGTACCAAGGCTGAAGTTCAAAACTCCATAACTCAACTTATCTTAATCGGATTTTGAAGTGGCATACCTCTAAATGTTTCTGGCGCAATTCTCTAAAAAACTGCATTCAAATTTAAAAATTTATTTTTTTTCAATTTTTTTGTAATTTTTCTGATGTGGTAATGTCGAAATTCAACAAAGTTAAGAAATGTCCCAAGGCTGAAGTTCAAAACTCCATAACTCAACTAATCTTAATCGGATTTTGAAGTGGCATACCTCTAAATGTTTCTGGCGCAATTCTCTAAAAAACTGCATTCAAATTTAGAAATTTAATTTTTTTCAATTTTTTTGCAATTTTTCTGATGTGGTAATGTCGAAATTCAACAAAGTTAAGAAATGTACCAAGGCTGAAGTTCAAAACTCCATAACTCAACTTATCTTAATCGGATTTTGAAGTGGCATACCTCTAAATGTTTCTGGCGCAATTCTCTAAAAAACTGCATTCAAATTTAAAAATTTATTTTTTTTCAATTTTTTTGTAATTTTTTTGATGTGATGATGTGTAGAAATTCAACAAAGTTAAGAAATGTCCCAAGGCTGAAGTTCAAAACTCCATAACTCAACTAATCTTAATCGGATTTTGAAGTGGCATACCTCTAAATGTTTCTGGCGCAATTCTCTAAAAAACTGCATTCAAATTTAAAAATTTATTTTTTTTCAATTTTTTTGTAATTTTTTTGATGTGATGATGTGTAGAAATTCAACAAAGTTAAGAAATGTCCCAGGGCTGAAGTTCAAAACTCCATAACTCAACTAATCTTAATCGGATTTTGAAGTGGCATACCTCTAAATGTTTCTGGCGCAATTCTCTAAAAAACTGCATTCAAATTTAGAAATTTATTTTTTTTTCAATTTTTTTGATATGATGATGTTGTAGAAATTCAACAAAGTTAAGAAATGTCCCAAGGCTGCAGTTCAAAACTCCATAACTCAACTAATCTTAATCGGATTTTGAAGTGGCATACCTCTAAATGTTTCTGGTGCAATTCTCTAAAAAACTGCATTCAAATTTAGAAATTTATTTTTTTTAAATTTTTTTGCAATTTTTCTGATGTGGTAATGTCGAAATTCAACAAAGTTAAGAAATGTCCCAAGGCTGAAGTTCAAAACTCCATAACTCAACTAATCTTAATCGGATTTTGAAGTGGCATACCTCTAAATGTTTCTGGCGCAATTCTCTAAAAAACTGCATTCAAATTTAAAAATTTATTTTTTTTCAATTTTTTTGTAATTTTTTTGATGTGATGATGTGTAGAAATTCAACAAAGTTAAGAAATGTCCCAGGGCTGAAGTTCAAAACTCCATAACTCAACTAATCTTAATCGGATTTTGAAGTGGCATACCTCTAAATGTTTCTGGCGCAATTCTCTAAAAAACTGCATTCAAATTTAGAAATTTATTTTTTTTCAATTTTTTTGATATGATGATGTTGTAGAAATTCAACAAAGTTAAGAAATGTCCCAAGGCTGCAGTTCAAAACTCCATAACTCAACTAATCTTAATCGGATTTTGAAGTGGCATACCTCTAAATGTTTCTGGTGCAATTCTCTAAAAAACTGCATTCAAATTTAGAAATTTATTTTTTTTCAATTTTTTTGCAATTTTTCTGATGTGGTAATGTCGAAATTCAACAAAGTTAAGAAATGTCCCAAGGCTGAAGTTCAAAACTCCATAACTCAACTAATCTTAATCGGATTTTGAAGTGGCATACCTCTAAATGTTTCTGGCGCAATTCTCTAAAAAACTGCATTCAAATTTAGAAATTTATTTTTTTTCAATTTTTTTGTAATATTTTTGATGTGATGATGTGTAGAAATTCAACAATGTTAAGAAATGTCCCAAGGCTGAAGTTCAAAACTCCGAAATGATCCTGTTCTATTTTCTTCGAGTGTGGCTGTGCAGAGCTGCATTTGACACGCCTGCCACAGAAGTGGAAACTCATTAATGAAGCGGCCGCAATGCCAACGAGGTCGTAATTCAGAGCTGCGACACTCTAACCTTTAGCCAAGATCTGCCAGCCGGAACCTGAAGATCGGATTCCCCATCTGCAGTGCCACTTTGTTGCACTCGCACTACGCATTGCCGCCACAAAGTGAATCAATTAGCCCCGCTGGTGGCCATAATTTCTAACTAATGGAATTCGCAATTGCAAAATGTCAGGCCCACTTAACAAAGTATAGAAACATCTAAGCCATCTCGAAGCGGTGCAACTTTCTGGCTGCAGTCTATTAATAACCGTCGCCTTTGCTGTCCGACTTTCAGTTGGATTTGGGGCTAGGGCCTATAGCTCATAGACTTGGCTCAGTCGGAGTTGGAGTCGTGGGAGGAGTGTCCGACCCGTCTTTAATGCGGTTTGCTCATCGGCCAACAGCTACATTGTGTGGTGTTGTGTTTTTGTTTTGTGTCTCGCATTTCTGCATAAATTTGGCGGGCCATTTTTATGGAGCTCCCCTACTTCTGCCCCCATCGCCTCGTTTTCCCGCATTTTGGAGCTTTGTTTTACGGCTATTTATAGCCCAAGTTTGCGCATTATTCAAATGGCAAATCAATCAGGCAGCGATTGGCCAATATGGGCCAAAACATGTTTATAATTAATATTTGACCCTTACATTTTCGGCTGCTTATTAGGTCACAACATTTTCCAAAGTCTATTTTATAGCCATACAGGCGTACTTTTACATTTACGGAAGCTGCCACAAAATATCCAATTTTGACCTTGGTTTAAAAACAAGAGGTTTGTGATAACCAAACTGGTAGAAAATTAACTTACTTCCCACGGTCGCTGACTTGACTTCCCATATATGGGCTGTAAAACGACAACCCATTTGAAACATACTGTAAAATTTATGATGTATGCCTCTAAAATATTACCAAAACAGGGCACTCTTAAAAATCACAAGCAATTACAAAGTTGAAAAGTATAATACCCATTTTAATTAATAGTTACAAAAATAACTTACAAAGAACTATTTAAGACCCATGAGAACTTCTCTTTTATATGCACAAAATTGATATGTATTTATTTATATAAAAGCTAATAGAAAGTAAAAATATCCATTGGTTTTTAAATTACCTTGCTAAGAGTATGCGGAAATTTCCTAGCGAAGCGTATTAAAATGCCTTTAGGACCGAAAGTGGAACCTATTTGGATTTCAAATTTATGTAGCTCACTTTTCGGCTGGGTTTTTATATTTCTTAACTTTAAATTGCTTGTCGGCTTTTAGGCAGAGTCCCAAATTGCTAAGGTACCTTAAGCTGAACACTTTCGCATCACTTTCCATAAAAGAACCCAAATGATCGCCTATTTTGGCGGGAAACGAAATTTAAGCTTGGATTTAAGAACAAGCATAAGCACGCCATTGAGTGGTGACCCTTAACCCCAATGCGAGAATTGACCTTTGTTGCGCAATGAAAAACCTGCACAGAATTAGCATATGCAATTACAGATGGAGCTGAACATGGAACAAGACATGTTCGCCTTTTAATGGCAGCTCGCGTTGATGACAAACGAAAATGTATCTGTCAGATACTTGGCAGTTATAAATGAGTGATGGCGACCAGCTCACACCTAGACATGAGCAATCCCAGAGCAATATCGCACAGAGATTGATGATTAACCCCACTGGAGCGTGGAACAATGGAACACCCCGGGCCCCAAAAAGCTCTCAAGCTATCCTGCGGATAAGCAGTAGTAGCTCATTTGATTAGTATGCGATTTGACAAATGATGTTTGTGGGCCAAGTTGAGCTCCGACTTCCACCTTGACCAAGGGAAATTGCGGGGCTATCCACTGTCAGCACATAACTCAAGCAAACACCTTCGAGGCAGATGCGAAGACAAGTGCTGGAGCAAAAAGAGGCAGCATTTGCATATGGGGCTGGCTCATAAACAAGTGCGCGGAAGAAGGCCGATGGGCCACCATGAAGATATCAATCAGCCCGGGCCAAAGCGGCAGCCAAACGAAATTCGTTTGTCCTTCTGTCAATGGCCGATAAAAAACCAATAAAGCTGCCAACCCAGCGGCTTGTTAACACGCAGATAAATTACACTGGCCGCCCGCGAGATTACCATCGAGATGCAGTCAGAAGCCGATAGCCAGGGCACAGGAAGCGGCCGATTGTTCTGGCCATAACTGAGCTGAGCTTTAGGGCCTGACGAACACCCAGAATCGACGATCGAGAATCGCATAAATACGGCCGCCGTTGGGAGCCACAATTGCAGTCGCGGCACGGCTTTCGATCAGTGACTTCCAGTGGCAGCAACGGATTTGCTACGGTACGCCATCGAATCCCACAGCATCATCAGTGTTTCCCAGCTCCGAAATTGAATCGTCGGGTTTATCGAGCGTGTAATTTGTGCTCTGTTCGCGAGATTTATGATCCACGGCACCTGCCCACTGACAGCCTAAATGTCTGTGCCCCGTGCCCCTCGATTCCAGCGCCTCCGCTGGGTGGTCTGTCTGCTGGCCAGCCTCTGGTTCTCCGGCAGCCGGGCTCAGTTGCCTGGAGCCGGCTTCCAGGGACAACGTGCGCAGGTGCCGCCACTTCAGCCACTGCAGCCGCTGCAGCAGCCAGCCAATCCCTTCCAGCGACGCCAGCCCAATCCCGTACAGGGTCAGGGCCTGTTCCCTGGCCAGCGGAATCCCCTGAACCCACTGGCACCTCCGCTCGCCGGAGCTGCCCTACAGAACCCCTATACCCGCTACAACCAGTACCAGCAGCAAAACTACGTGCCCATCACCGCCTACCAGAACGAACTCAACCTGGATGGAAGCTTCTCCTACGGATACTCGTCCGCCGATGGAACCACTGCCCAGGCGCAGGGATACGTCAAGAACTTGGGGTATGGTGAGGGCGTCGAGGCACAGGTGGGTTCACCGTTCGCATTGATCACGAACCTGTAGATACATTTTCAAGGGAAAGCCTTCTAAAAGATACCAACGAACATAAAATTCAAATTAGCACCGAATTTCGCTGCACTCTTTTCGGCGTATAAGCACAAAATGCCTATCATGCTTTTGGGTGCTATTTTTAAGAACTTTATTTATGAATGGACAGGTAATCCAGGGCTCCTACTCGTACACCTCACCGGAGGGCACACCCATCACAGTGCGCTACATCGCCGATGAGAACGGGTTTCGAGCGGAGGGCACGGGGATTCCATCTACACCGCAGTACTTCGCGGGTTCCCAGCCCTATCAGCAGGGCCTGCTGAATCCCAATCTGAATCCATACCAGACGCCCTTCCGCCAGCTGCCGCCGCCACTGCCCAACGCCCCCTTTCGTCCCCAGATTCCAGGACAACAGCCGCTGAACCCGCTGCAACAGCAGCAGCAGCAGCAGCAGCAGCTGCAACAGCAACGCGGATTCCAGCAGTCAAACTCCGGGCAATATCAACCGGATCAGCCGTTCAATCAGCTGCATTCCGGGAACTTGCCCGGCCAGTATGCCGGGCAATTTGGCCAGCAATCGTTTGGCAGCAATCTTACTGCGCAACAGGCACAACAGCAGCAGAATCTCAACCAGCAGCAGCAGCAACAGCAGCAGCAGCAACAGCAACAGCAGCAGCAGAAGGAGCAGCAAAACGAGCAGCAGCAACAGGCGCTAATCACCCAACAACTGAGGGGCAGACCCAACAATCTGGTGGATCCCTATGGCTATAACCAGTACGGCAGACGCTTCAAGAAGTCCCCAAAGAAATAACATTTAAATAACGTTTAATGTCATTTAAACGATTGCTTAGTTTAAAGATGTAGTCGCAGCTCAAAGGCATGCAATACATGCAACTGAAAAGTCAAACAGCTTGTTTCAATTTCCGCAGTAATATTTTGCAAACATATTTTACAATAATCATTTATTTCGATAGTTGCACACACACATTGTCGGGTAAGAAAAGGGAGGTCAGCTTATATAAATAAATTAATTGTTTTTTTAGTGAAAGAACATTGGGGCAGCCTGCACGGAAATGAGAGATTTGATTGGCGCTTCGGGATTTATTGTGGCATTAATAGCTATAGCCCGTCTGAGGATTGAACTCTCCGTTTCCACGACCTCCGCCCGGCGTTCCCGGAGCAGGTGGAATGTACTGCGATCCCGTGCCGGGTGCTCCTCCTGATCCTGGTCTGCCGGGTGCTCCGCCTCCAGCTGCTGGCGGAACGTACTGATTGCCGGGCAGTCCTGGGCCGCCTGGTCGTCCACCGGCGCCTCCTGAAACGATCGTTTAACTTATGTAAACTCCTCTTTGGCAGCTTGTAAATACTTAAAGCAGTCTTTAAAATTATTATAAGCTAGCGTCTTCAAAAGGACCGCTTCCAACCCAAAATGTTTTATTCATGACTGATCGTTAGTAGATCGTGGGTAAAACTACAGACCCAGCAAATAAAAATTGTGGGAACACAGCTCTTCACAGCATTTTCTCACGAAGATGAATGAGACTAATTCAAGTTTGGCAGTTGCAATAAACCACACAGATTGTAAGAGCTGCTTGATGACTATAATGTTTCTTACCTGGGCCGCCAGCACCTCCGCCATAACCTGGTCCGCCCGGAGATCCTATGCGGATTACAAGAGATGTTCTTGATGTTGTCACTAATTGGGAAGCCAGGGATACTCACCGGGGGCTCCTCCAGCTCCACCAGCACCGCCGGCACCACCAGCACCACCAGCACCACCGCGACCACCGCCTGCGCCAAAGCCGCCACCACCCGGAGCTCCTGGAGCACCACCGCGACCGGCGCCTCCTCCGTAACCGCCTCCACCACCTACAAGATAAATATGTTGCACTTAAGGTCTGGAGTTGGATTAACATTGTGCTAGCTTACCTTGACCACCAAATCCTGCCCCTCCAGGCGATCCTGTTAAAATTCCCTTATTTTCGAAAACAATCAATCTAAATCATAAACTCACCTGGAGCTCCTGGAGCACCGCCGCGACCGGCGCCTCCTCCGTATCCGCCACCACCACCTGCAATGTGTTTAAATGTATTTCTTAAAGTGTATGTACGAAAGGTTTCATTAGCACCTACCTTGACCTCCGAAACCGCCACCTCCTGGTGCTCCTGGAGCGCCTGGCGCACCTGGTGCTCCACCACCACCGCGACCGCCGCCGCCTCCATAGCCGCCGCCAGCACCTCCCTGGCCACCATATCCGCCTCCGCCTGGTGATCCTAAAAAATAAATAAAAATAAGCAATAGGTTATAGGCCAAAAACAAAGGGAATGAGCTGATGAACTCACCGGGAGCACCAGGAGCACCGCCGCGTCCGCCGCCACCACCGAATCCTCCAGCGCCACCTACAAAGTGTTTATAGTTTTAACTTGAAACGCAAAGCAAGGCGGGATTACTTACCGTGACCTCCGAAACCTGCTCCGCCAGGTGATCCTTCAGGTGAGGAAAGTAATTAGTTTTGAGTGTCTATATAGTAACTATTCGCTAACTTACCGGGAGCTCCAGGTGCTCCACCACTACCGCGACCTCCGCCGCCGCCGCCACCGCCGCCATAGCCGCCGCCAGCACCTCCTTGGCCACCTGGTGATCCTTAAATTATTGAAAAATATAAATGCATTAAGTAGGTAAATCGGATCTTCTTCAGAAAGAAGTAAAGGATTAAGTAGATGACTTACCAGGACCGCCTGGAGCACCACCACGACCGCCGCCGCCACCTGCTCCTCCATAGCCACCACCGCCTCCTAAAAAGTAAATAATTTGTTTAGATCCAAGTGTAATCATAGTGTAGGACATAAATTACCTTGACCTCCAAATCCGCCTCCACCCGGCGCACCTGGAAATAAAAACATTTTTTTTAAAGATTTTTTTAAAATTTTTTTTAATGAAATCTCTTGCTTACCTGGACCTCCTGGGGCTCCACCGCGACCACCGCCGCCTCCTAAGAATAATTGTTGAAAAGTTAGTAACCAAACAAAGAGACCCAAATCTGCTTTGGATTGATATCTAACCTGGTCCGTATCCGCCGCCACCACCTGCTCCACCTCCGCCTCCACCGGGTGCGCCTCCTGCGCCACCGCCTCCGAATCCTGATCCGCCGCCATATCCCGAACCACCACCTCCGCCGCCACCTGCTCCTGCAAACAAAAGTGTGCATTGAAATGAGAGCATTTATTGGTTCATTGCAGATACTCACCATGTCCGCCAGGACCGCCACTGTATCCGCCACCCGGCAGTATGGAGATGCCCTGGGCAGCCAGAGATTTGGCTATAGCTTCCGGAATGGGCGGTGGAGTGGGCAGGGCATTGCCCGAGGGCACAAAGCCATTCTCGTCCGCCGTGTACATGATCTCGACGAGTTCGCCCTCGGGATTTGTGTAGGAGTACGAGCCCATCACGGAGGGGATTTCGTTCTCGGATCCCTTGTTCTTGACGGTGCCCTCCTCCTGGGCCTTGATGCCATTACCGGTCTCGTAGCTAAAGCGATAGTTGCCATCGCCGTCGTTCTCGTTGACAAATGAGAGAATCGGAATGGGAGGTCCAGAAGCTGGTGGGGCGCCACCTGACGGACTGGGGCGCGGAGCGGGTGCTCCACCGCCACCGCCACCGCCAGGAGCAATGGGTCGTCCGTTTGCGAAGCCGCCCAGTCCGTTGTTACCTCCACCGGCACCGCCCCCAAAGCCACCAGCCGGTCCGCCTCCGCCATAACCTCCACCCGCTCCGCCACCACCGAATCCACCACCGCCGCCACCTCCGCCGAAGCCACCTCCTGGTCCCTGGAGCCCTGCTCCCGGACTGCCGCCCGCACTGGCCGCACTTGCAGGTGGGGGCAGGTATTTGTTATCCAGCTTGGCTGCTTGGGCAACCACCAGCGTCGTGATCACCAGAGCCTGAAAAAGATCGATGCAGGTAGGGATTGCCCGGTAAGTTCACAAATTTATGCAAGCACATGGAAAGTTCATTCGTAGCATTTTCAATCGCGATCCACGCTCTCAATTTGGCCTGAAGCAACTATTTGGCGGGCTAACTTATTTGATTGCCAAATAAATACCGGTGAAATATCATAGGGGTGGCTAATTGTTTAAAAATTGGCCTTTATGTCTGTGGCTAATTCATAAATCTGAAGACTAAAAAGGCTGCTCTTTACAAATGAGGATATAGTTGTTTAATGGCTGCCATAAAAAGTGGAATTCCAATAAATATTTGTTGCTTAAGCAGGTTAATTTTTTACGATTTTAAGTGGCTCACTTAGACTTGCGTTTCTTTCACAACTGAAGATCTTCTATGGTCGTAATTATTTCTAATAAATGTGAATTTAAGTAACAAGCAAATAAGCGGTAGCTCTTAAAAAAACAAATTAAATACCTCGAATTTGTACGCGATAATCATTTTCCAAACTTCAAACTACAAGAATAACCTTGAATTCTGGCGCTAATTAGGCCCTGTTACATATCTCGGCCAAGTGGGTATCATGACCCCGCCTGCAACCTCCAAAGGGGTCAAGAGTGTGGCCAAATGTCGGCCAACTCATCAATGAAGACGATGTTGGCCATTGACTGAGCCGATCACGTTTTCCATTGTTGCATCGGATCGTCGTCGCCCATTAAGGCTGCAAGTGCAGCGGGAACTCTAGACTATCACAATCGGGCTCATCATTGTCTCAGCCTGAGGCGAACTCTGATATTTATGGACTTCTTGTTAGACAGAAGACGTCTGAAGATGCAGCAGCGTGTGAACCGAGAGTCCACGCTGGATCGCTGGCTGGGAAGGCCAGGCAAGCGGAGCGGATGGGGGCTGCTCCACGACCAAGTGGAGTGTCAAGTTGAAGTTTAAACCGTTTACGGATTCCACTGGGCCATAAGCCTAACAGCTTCATCGATTGGCGCGATGATGAGCTCACTTGCAGTGCAGTAATGTAAGATTTGTGGAAATTCTGACATTTGCCGCACTGACTCATCCGGCGGCTGTGGCATTGTGGCATTGTGGCAACCGAGCAACCAACGCCTGCCCCGTTGGGCCGGAATATCATGAGGAGTCTGTGAGAGGCTCTTGGAGTTCGTGACCACCGAGCAGCAGACATCTTCGACAGCGTTTCGCAACCGCAAATATAATTGCGGTAATTGCAAATGGGCTGCCAACTGGGTCGCCACTGCTACCATTTCGATGATCCCCTTGGGGGCGGATCGACCACGACCGATCCAACTTGGGCAACTCTGCGTGCCATCCGCCATCCGCCATCTCCGATTGCAAATGGGCTGTTAATTTATGCGTTTTTCGCGGGGATTACTCGGTCTGCTCAAGACAATCGGATATGCTAAGTGCAGTGGGGAAACCCTTGGCTATCTAACACTCCAAGATGGGACACTCCACTGGTCTATTGTTTAAACATGTTCTTGGAACTCAACGTGGAATTTAACGTGTTGCCACGTTGAGATTGGACAACACACTGCTTAAATAGTTAACGTACCTAAGGTTCCCTGAAAACTTGTAATTTCCTAAAAGGAAGTCAAGTTACATTCGACATTCCTGTGTGTCCTGGGTATCCAGATTTTTGATGAGCCTATTCCCTACACTAAATCAATTACATAAAACATTTATTCTAAGGGAAAATGCGAAACTTATTAGGTTATTACTAAATTTAAAGCGGGTATTGAAAATTAAATTCAATTAAATTTGAAGTTTTAAGATCTTTCTATTCGATTGTATTTAAAAAAAAACTGCTGCTTGTATGAACGAAATAGTAGTAAAATAATTTATTCAAGTCTTAGATCAATAACGTAGTTTTTGTTTAACAATAAAGCCTAAGATAGGAATAAAAACGGAAAATATGAAAGTAACTTTTATTTCAAATATCGAATTACTTCAAAATTATTTTCTGATTTAACTTTTGAGTCAAGGTCCTTAACTCACGAAGGAATATTTTCGGGATAAGTTTGTTAATATGTTCTGGCCATTACTGAATTTCAAATTAAAATGATTTTTACAAGCATAGAGTTTCAAAGGACTTTGCCGAATCATTTGAGCACTTGGATCTCCTGGATTTCCCAACCCATGTTCCCTTTTCGCTTTCACCGAACTTACCCACTGAAAAGCCATGTCAGCAAACTTTCGATTGTCAAATTCCAGTCGAGAACTACTGAGAAGGATCCTGGCGCACCCACAAACTATCCACTTTTTAATGTATCCACAAAGCTAAGGTAATCCACGTGAATCCTTTGCCGCACCAGCGATGCAGTGCCTCCGCGTGTCGTGTTGTGGCTCCTCGAATGTCACAGTACTTGTGTGCCGATCGCAGCCCAGGTTCTCCAGCTTTTATACTTGGTTTGGCGCCAAATGCAATCAAATGGAATGGAATGAACGAAAACTGCAGCCGGAGCTTGCCGCTTGCAGCTTGCAGCTTGGAGCTTGGTACTCGGATTTGAGCGAGTGCTGAGATTTTGATACTTTATGGCATTTATTGCAATCGTGTGCAGCTGTGTTGGTGGCTGGGGCAGAAAACAATCGCACGAAAAAAAAAAGGGAGGAGGAGGTGCCCCTCATCCGCGAGCCCATGCAGTACGACTATTGTCTCAGCGGCGGCATCTCGTTTACTCAATGTACCTTGTCTTGTTAAACAAACGCTCTCAGCCACATCTCTCTTCTCGGTTAGTGGGTAAAAATTAGCAGGCAACTGCTGCTGCTGCTGCTGCTGCTGGTGGTGCTCGTAAATTGGAATCCAATCGAAACCCTCAACGCTCGAGCGCATCATCATCATTCAGCATCAGCTTCATCTCCATTGAATTGCATGTTTGGGAAACCGTTTTAATGCGCTCGGTGTCAAGAATCGCATATTGAGAAGTCTGCCCAGGCGGATGTCAATAAGTCTGGCACTCAAAACAAGCCCAGAGGGCGTCCAGGTCCAGTCTTTGACCTTTCACCTAATGATTGGCTAAAAGCTGAAAACTGGATTCGAAGCGGTAATAAATACCACTAATATCGACACCCTCCGGCCGAACGACTAAGGCATTGCGCAAAACAAGTTGCTCCACTTGGTGGCAACATCCAAACCCCAACAACCCATCGATCTGCCGCAGCCCCTTCTCCATTTTCGTAAACTTTTCAGAAAGGGCAGTTGCTTCTTTTCGCTGCTTTTGGGAAAACTCACTGCATATCGCGGCGGCCAAGTTTAGCGTAAATGCTTGACATCTTTTGGCAACAAGGAGAATGCTCATTGACATTTGCCAGCCACATGCATAGCTGGCTAACATGGCTGTTTCTGTTTGGAAAGGCACACCGTCTAGCAGGTTGTCAGTGGGCCTTATTCTGCTTGGGATGGTCACAGCTGTGCGGACCAGAACGCCAGCCAAGTGGCAAAAGGAATGTGCACGCACTGCCGGCAATTGCGCCAAGAACGAACTCAGACAATCAGCGCCACATGCAACTGGCCACGTTGCGTATGCGCAACATGCATCACTCATACGCCGTGTGGCCTTGCCAAATTAACACACAAATGAGCTGACGGCCACGCCCCCTACCAGCCCATTGCACAAACATCGAAATTTAATAATAATCCGCATGGCAGAGGGTGGCAATTAAGATGACTCAACTCGGATGCAGATGCACTGCGGCCAATAGAATGTTTGCCGCGCTTTGGGTTTTTCTACTCAATCAGTTCCTGAACGAGCGGATTATTTATAGCGTAATTATGATTACTCAATCGTAGAAATAAAATACAAAACGTTTATTCAAGCCTCGGGTGTTAGGGGGTAGACAATTTTCAGTTACAATGGCTCCATGAGATTCCTACTCTGGCAGTCAAAGAGATCGGTTGTGTCGCGCGCATGCAAAAGTGATTTATTTTTTGCTTATCGGTGCATTCCCTTTTGTGCTCAAAATAGCACAAATCATTTATTTGGGCGCTGCTTTGAGCGGTGTCGGCAGTTTGACAAAAACAAAAAGTGCATCAGGTGAAGTGCATTCAAACGGTGCTTTCTGCCCTTCGGGCAAGTCATCTACCTCACCCCGCGCAGAACTGCACAAGAGGTAAACAAACTTTGCTTATCAGTAAAACCGAACTGTTTATGCTCTGTTCCGGACATTTGGGCCCGCAAATTATTTGCTGAATATTAAGACAATATAAAAACAATGAATGAAAACAGTTTCGATGACTCTCAGCTTATAAAGAAGCAGATTGATCATGAAAAAATGTTCTCAATAGCTGGAAAATTACCTAGTAAGATTAGAGACGAGTGCCGATCAGAAATTCAACGCATTACATGCAATAAGTCTCAAAGCAGTCCCACCACAACAACAGTGACATTTTCTAGTGCCAGTAGCAGCACCATATACACAATGGCAAATCCCACAATGAGCAGCATCTGTTCTGGTTCAAGTGTAGCAAACCAAGAATGTTCCCAATTGACCAGCCCCGACATTGCAGCAAAAAATCTAAGCGGTGCTGCCAGAAGATTACTGGATGATCAAAATCGGAAAGCAGGCAAGAGAAAAAATGCAAAGCCACTGTCCCCCATCCTTAAACCGAAAAGAGTGAGCAGTACCCAGGGCCCGCACTTGGTCCCCACAATTAACCAGAAGGCAAGCTCTAGTAACAGGTTTGCTATTCTCGACACGGACATCATTACTAATGAAGAAAACGGGGAAGACATGATGTCTGAGGATGCCGATGATGCTAGTGCCCGCATGGACGAATTTCAATCTGCAGAAAACAATACTGCCAATAAATCCCAGGAAACATCTAACGCCAACAATCAACTCAAAGATTTTAAAAAACCACCCCAAATTGTTGTTAATATTAGCAACTTAAATGACCTATTTGAGCTCATACAAGAAAAGGCAAGTCTAGATAACGTCGTAGTCAAAGCTAACCAAGGGGAAACAGTCAGAATATTTCCCAAAGACAGTGACACTTACAGAAAAATTGTTAGCTATATGGATGAAATTGGTATGCAGTTTCACACTTACCAAATGCTGACAGAAAAAGCACACAGAATTGTAGTAAGGGACTTACATCACAGCACACAAAACAAAGATATAACGGCCGATCTGAAATGTTTAGGCTATGAAGTACTTCACATTCACAACCCTAGTTCAAGGGTTAATAAAGATGAAAAACTCAATATTTTTTTCATTAACATTAAGCCCTGCCCTAATATTAATGAAATTTATCACGTGAAGACCCTTTGCCGACAGAAAATACGGATCGAAAGGATGCGAAAGTCTAGTGAAATTGCACAATGTCGACGTTGCCAGGAGTATGGCCATACAGCTAAATACTGCCGCAGACATCCAAATTGTGCCAGGTGTGGTGAAAATCACCAAACCACACAATGTACACGTCCTGTAGATGCTCTGCCCACATGCTATCACTGTTCTCACGATCACATGGCTAGTTATAAAGGTTGCCATAAGTACCAGGAGCTTCTCCGCAGATCTATGGGGCCTGCGAAGAAGGCGAATCACTTAAATAGGCAGAATCATGGGTTCAACCATAGAGATCAGCAACAGTTTCCTTCCGTGCAGATTAATCGCCGTAAGAGTACTAACCAGTCAACTGAAGATCAGCAACCAACACAACAACACCAAAATATGGTACAGCATCAACCATCTATAGGCCCTGGGGTAAATACAAAAGTATCCTATGCCACAGTAGCAAAAGAATACTCTAATACAACTCCCTCCAAGGATGGACCAGCTCAGCGACGTTTATATAACTTACAAACGCAACAGTTATCGCAGCAACAACGACTGAACACTCAGCAAAATAATTCACTTGACGTCCAAGCATTGTTACAACAGCAACAACAACAGTTCCAAGAATGGCAGCAGCAAATGCAACAACAACAACAACATCAGTTTCTTATGTGGTTGCAACAGCAGCAACAAGATCAGCAACATCACAGAAATCAAACCAATCAACGACTTGAAAAGCTCGAAAGAATGGTATTTGAAATAACCACCATGTTAAAGCAAGGAGCTGGGAATGAACATACCTACCAGCTTTCTAACAACGCTCCACACCCACAATGAATCCACTAAAGATTCTTATTTGGAATGCCAACGGCATTTCAAGAAAAGCTAAAGATATTGAGCTTTACGCGCACAATAATAGCGTGGACATTCTTCTTGTGACGGAACTTAGAATTAAAAGAGGGGATACTGTTAAGATATATGGTTATGCTTTCTATCCAGCATTTAGGCCATCGCAAAATAATAATAGCGTTGGTGGAGCAGCCGTGTTCGTTAGGACAACTCTTCGCCATTTCCCGCAAAGGGTCATAGAGACACGCAGCATACAAATGTCTACAGTAAAAGTAGCTACAGGACTGGGTGACGTGCAGTTCGGCGCCATTTACTGTCCTCCCAGTGTTAGTATCGACGAAAGACAATTTACTGACACAATACGCTCTTGCGGCCAACGGTATATGATTGGTGGCGACTGGAACGCCCGACACTGGCTTTGGGGCGACACCTACAATTCACCCCGGGGGCGTGAGCTAGCGGAAGCCATCTCTATCACTGGAGCTAAGATACTTGCAACTGGTTCGCCAACCAGGTATCCTTATGTACCCAGTCATACGCCTTCCTGCATTGACTTCGCGGTGCATCATGGTATACCAGATTCCCTAACAAGTATAACACAAAGTTGGGATCTGGACTCCGATCACTTGCCTTTGATCATCAGTATTGTGACAGATAGTACCCATGTGAATCCAAGTCCACGATTAGTCAACAAGCACACTGACCCGCTCGCTTTTAGTCAACAACTGGAGAGCATGATCCCGTTGAACATCACGCTAAATTCTGGTGAAGAAATTGAAATGGCTGTTGATCACCTTACGCAAAGTATTCACAGGGCTGCGACTGCATCTACGCCTTCTGTTCCTCGGACAGGCACCCCCTATGGAATATCCCTAACAAGAGAGGCTAGAGAGCTCCTGACACAGAAAAGGAGACTCAGAAGGCGAGCAATCCGATCTCAAGATCCCTGGGACCGCATCTTATGGAACCGTGCTGCAAAACAACTACGAAATGTGGTAAGAGACCTTCGAAGTATCTTTTTTGAGCAGAAGCTGGCTTCTATGGACTATACGGTGGATGCTGGGTATTCACTCTGGAAGTCCACCAAATCCCTCAAAAGACAACCGTTCAGACAGGTACCCATTAGATGCCCGGGAGGTGAACTTGCTAAAAACGAGGAGGAACAGGCCAATTCCTTTGCAAATCATTTGGAGACTAGGTTCACCCATTACCAATTCGCTACAATGGAGCAGAATCGAGAGAC